TGAAATCGCATGGGGGATCGCATGGGGGACGATATTTGTGGAATCTGATGACTGAAATTCGTCTTGTGGCCAGATGGATGAAAATATTGAGACCAAAGAACATTTTTTCGAAAAGGTATGAGTTGCTCTACGACTACGAACCTTAACTTTGGAAATTTGTGTCCTGGATGAAAAGATAATCGCGATCGAAAGATGTAGCAAAATCGCTACATCGGCGGCCCAAAAAATTCAGTCTCTGTGGAAGCATCGGGCGTCTGGCCGTACTACAGAGCTTGCGATAGTACTGTACGGCCAGACGCAGTCGGGCTAGGGAGAGGACTGATTTTTTTTTACTGTCTGTGACTGTTCAGAATGCAGAAGGATTAATAATGTGCCTGTAGTTGTTGTATAGAAAATCAGCATTGATCGAAAATGATTGTATTTTTATCTTCAGTGTTAGGATATTATTCCCGAGCCCCCCACCTTACAAAAAAAAATCAATGTGCTGAGTTGGAACCAACTGCCAGGCATTGCCTGCAGTTAAACACAGTATAAGGTAACGAACATCTGCCTACATGTAGCTGTTGACTTGGTAACAACAGTATGGAGTTTTTTTGTCAGTACATACGATACGTGTACAAACTGAAGAGACAGTATTAAAGAGAAAATATTTTACTGCATGTACCAGCAAGCTTAATGATTGAATGGTAATTATTATTATTGCTTTGTATTTGTTTATTTCATTAATGGTAATAAAGTGCACCAGGCACTGTAGCTAGCAAGCCTGAAGTCTTTGTAGAGAGAAGACAATGATTTTATTGGTGGGAGGAAAAGCCCAGAATATCATTCTTGGGAAAACCCATGGAAACCAGTGGGTACTGTAAACCCAATCCACATGTGGCCAGGGCAGGAATCGAACCCGGGCCACAGGGGTGGAAGGCGAGGAAAGAACTGCTGCGCCAACCTGACAACTACTGTACGTCTGCAGTAGCAAATAAACAAATAAACCAAATAGCATTTTTTTTTCTAAAGGGCTCTTGGAAGGCACAGCTAGTGTTTCAATGTACACAAAACAGTATACAGCACAGTATACTATAGTTGGCATGTTAATGGGACATTTATTGGACACACAAAATACCATAGTGATAGAGATGTCTCATGGCATTCCTGCATTTACAATGTATGTCATGGTGCACCGATCTGATACACCATGCCCTCTGGAGACATGCACACAATAGGGAACAAAAGATTGTATACTGTACGTGTCCACAGGTCAATTTCTATAGATGAATACATCTCCACAAGGTTTTCACTAAATATGGATTTTACTCAAAAACTAGGAATTTCCAAGGTATGTTGATCGGTCGCAACTGGTAGAGTTTAAGAAAAGGGATATTAAGTCCGAATTTCAGCCAAGGAAATTAAATCTGGTTAAAATAAGAGCATTTTGAAACTGTACTGTCAAACTCGAAAACTTTAGTACACGAGAACAAAGAAATGTCTCCACATGGATAAATTTCAGTATGGGTGTACCGGCACATGTACACAAAAATAAAAATGTACATGTACATTTATACAATGTATGTGTCTTTCTTTCTATGCATGGGCATGATTTTCACAAAAAATACAATTATACAAGTTCAGTCAAAGAAAACACTAGACCAGCCACAAACCGCCATTAAAGATTAAAAGTTTGAATACATCCCAAGTTCTAAAACTTCTATTAGGCCCAAACAAATAAAATTAAAATGTTAAATTGAATAAAAGTTAACAATATATATAAAAATATTTAAAACAAAATACACCAATAAATAAATGAACAATTGGAAACTAATGAAGTGAAAATTGTTAGGTTAGTTGCAAAGGGCTTTTCAATACATAGAACAAGAATATATATTCAATACATAGAACAAGAAGGAGTTTGCCCAGTGTTTCTGGCCTCCTAGTTATACTCCATTGTGGAAGTCCTTAGGAGAAGAACCAACCAAGTACCAAGTATAATTGTATGCCGTCTGTCAAGTCACTTACACTTATTTAGCTTCCTGCCCATTGACTATCCCTCATTGAGAATGGAACGGTCTGACATCTAGGCTCCTATTATCATCTACATAATGCTCAGTCGACCCATATGCTTGATATTCCTAAACTGTAGGAAAGCGCAGGCACACCTATCATTCATTGTCACCGCCATTGCATTTACTCTCAACTCGATCTGCATGTATATTGTGTCCTGCTACCGGTACCGGTAACCCCCAGAAATCAATTATTGTCTGATATTGGAGGTTTATTACTGACTGGTGAGTTTTTGTTTTATATAATAAGAAGGTAAAAAATGTTTCATAATGGACTTACTATTTTTGTATACAGTCTGACAGTGATGGCTTTAAATATATACCGGTGCAGTATGTCATGTATGTGTACAATAAACGCTAACAGTGTATGGTACCGGTAGAAACATTTGTAAATTTATGTTTAATTGTATGGAACATCAGTAACAATGTACACGTGCATTTTACTACATGTTTGAACATGTACATGTACATGGTATTTCAATGTACAATGATGTATGTTCATGTCTTTTTTCCCCCATGTTTTCCATGTACACAATAATTGGTTACCATACATGTACCGGTACATGTAAATTTATGTAATTTCATTCGTTCAATCAATCAAATTCAGGTTTTTAACATGAATGTACAGTTTCCTGAATGACTATCATCATCATCAGATATGGGCTGGTGTTTAAATCAGTTTTTTTTTATAAAACTTTCGGGGAAAATTTCCCTTTCTTTTGTTTTTCAAAATTTTCCTTTCCTGGGGCATTTTGTTTAATACATAATAGCCATTGTGTTGAGGAATATTACCCCTTTGGCAGGTTGAATATTTCCGTTGTCATTGTTCAATTTAAAAATTGGAAGTCAAATGATGATAAACATTAATGTACACGTATGAATCAGATTGATATACATGTATGTAATTTACATGTACATCCATCGAAAAATACATGTCACGTCAAAGGTTCTTGCAATTCATGGAATTCTTTTCATACCAATTTTATGTAGATGGCAAAGAATTGAGTTTCGTATTCTAAAAATAACAACTGTAGCCTACATGTACATAGAAGCATAGAATTAAAAGCAGCAGGCTGCATTTTTTTGTCTCGTTATTTTTAACAAGGAACACAGCTTCTGAAAATGTACATTGTACATGTGTACATCTTGTACACTGTTATGCTTTGTGTATGCTCAGCCTTTTTGCATGTACACTACATACATACATGTACATGCATACATGTACACATCCCCCCCCCCCCCCCCCCCCAGGTACATCCATATTCATCAAAGATGCAAAATTGCTTTCGGTTTTTGTACTGAAATACAAATGTGTGGTATATATTGTTCTTAAAGTTATTAGAATATGGTACAATGCTGTACTTTATCATGTTCACATACCGTACATGTGTGCTGTGAATAATTAATGTCATTTTAAATTTGCGGAAATGTATTCAGTTAATTTGCCCATGATTGACCTACATGTATTAACATGTACATGTACTATGCATACTTGCATGTAGCATATTTGTCATTGATTGAATATGGAAAAGGTTTAGTTTAGTGTTTATTAAGTAGTAAAACTGTCATTTAAAGGATGAACAAGAGAACACTGTAAAAAACAATCGTTGCTAGAAAGAAAATAGTACAATGTACATGTACATGTGTATACATGCCTACATGCATGACATGTGGGTGGCACTGAAGCATACACATGAATGAGCAGAATGCATTCCTTTATTTTCAAAGATAACGATCGAAATACACATGTATGTAATTGTATCGGTAGAATACTACATTTAAAAAATGTGTGGGAAGCAGGGTGCATGCATGATATGACTAAATGAAAGAACATGTACAATGTACTGTATACATGTACATGTAAATCTGTTAAAAACAAGAATACAGAACAGAACTGTCTTAAATTCATTTTGTTTAAATTCTTTGAAAATGTCACGGTAAAAATTAAAGAGAATGATACCGGTAATTATTTGAAAGTCCTGAAGATAAACAGGCTCGCTCTGCCTTGATGTTAAAATTCAATTTACAACATGTTCAAAACACCATCTTCGTTACTACACATAATATTCTGTTTGGAGAGCGTTGACTTTGTAAGATAGAAAGGGTGGGCCATCTTCACACAATCTGTGTTGTGTACATCACGGACCAAAATGGTCTGTGTACATGTTCATAGAGCTATATTAAATTACTATAGAGCGCTAACTCCTCATTCTTGCCCGCGGAGACGTTTTGAAGCCGTCCTGGGCGCAGACATTTTGAATTCATGTGCGTGTTTGTACTAGAACAAAATGAAATTGGATGGATCGAATTTTGAAAGTGTACTCTTCATGCAACGCGCAAGTAGAAGATACGCAAACAACTTAAGCCCGTCATGACTGTTCAAAAACGTTACGGCAAAAATCATCTGCAGCGAATACGCGCACGCGTTGCGCTGTTTGCGTAGAGCAAAATGACACGCTTATTTGCGGATCGTGCGTTTCGGTTTTGGGCGTATCGGCTTCGATGACGTACCGGTATGGAATACAAACGCAGATATGCAAATAGCCGTACAAAAGCCGTACAAAATTGCTAGTTCTCCATAGGTTTGTGTACAAACATGGATGCGCCAATCAGGCATCTCTTTGGACAAAGAGTTAGCGCTCTAGTAATTTACTATAGCTCTATGGTACATGTACATGCACAGTTATACACCCAATTTTTGTTGTACATTGTACATGTTGTACATGGACCTGTCCATTTGTGTGTTCATGTTGGGACGTGTCTGCAACATTTATCGTCCAAGATAGAAAAACACTTTTGCTTTCCGCTCCTGTATTTGCCTTAATTGTGATATATGTAGACCCAGACATTATAAAGGATCACGTGCTTTAAATGATAATGAACATTGGGAGTAATATTTATTATTATTTTTTTAATATTAACTGTCCTGTCTTTTTTATTTATTTACAGAAAAAGAGGGAAAGGCATTTCATCTTTCCTACAGGGACAAAGTCCAGTTAGTGGCCTACGTGAGGCAGATAACCAACGGTAAATACGATCCTACGAACTCACCGCCTGTCGGCTATCTTGACGTCGTAGGCAACGACAGAAGGTAAGAGATGCCCGTTGTGTTGGGCATTTGGGATAATCACATGACACATTCTTGATTCTTCTTCATCATCAGCAGTTTGTTTGCATTTTACATGTACATGTTCCGGTACATGTGTATGCATGGTCCAAGAAAGCAAAAAAGGAGTGAACCATGTTTTTTTTTACTTGTACAATGTCTAGCTAAGTGTATACATTTGCTAAGTGTATACATTATTGTGCATTTTATTTTTATGCGAATAAAGAATCTGAACTGAACTGAACTGAACTGAACATGTACTAATACATGTACATGTACATGTATGCACATGTTCCTCATATATACTCACCGGTACCAGTGTCTCATCTATAGCCACCCGTCCACCCGTCTTTTGGACCGGCAGTTTGTGATTCCGGACGGCCACTTTGCGAAATGGACAATAAAACATGACGGGTAGAATTTCAGCAAATGGACATTAAAATTGACAGTTTGGTTTTGTGTGGCAAAAAATTAAATAAAAACAAAGCGCGTAAGTTGTATTTTTGTTTAGAAAGAAGACACAAAAGTACCCAAAATACCTCTAAATCTACGCGAAAAATCGGCCGCCACAGTCAGCCAAGTGCATTGTGCAGCATTAAAAGCTTCGTACAACAGTATAAACACACGCAGCTACATGTACATGTAGTCACGCACATGACAAAATGTGTCTTTTTTGTTGCGTGACGACAGGTACTTTTGAAAGTGCACCACGGTATGACAGGCAGTTTTGGTAATTCTAGATGAAACCCTGATACTTACATACATAATATACATCTCATACATGTACAATGTACATGTACACGATGTTCATGGATAAGTGTTAACGTGTTCCATCAATCCTTATATCTTGTGTGCTCAGATATATTGTATGCTAGACATGCTAGAGCCTTGAGGAATATTATCACAGTCGCCAATAATAAATGATGTACAGTGTGTGTAGTATACATGTATCTATACATGTACCGTGTACACCATGTACATGTACATGGACATGAGGACAAGCACATGAGGGTCATCTACACAAATACATATATTATTGCCGAGCAACTACGACAATTTTTCCTTGAGTATTCATCAGCTTAAATATTTTATGTAACTGATACATACCGTTATTTCTACAATAACGTTTGTCATGAATACATCACCACAAATGAGTAAGTAGCTTGCCATAATTAACATTTTATTTAGATGTAAGGAACCGTCTATTTGTTAGACAGGAATTCATTGAGAAAGATGATGAAAAAAATTAAAAGTTTCATTAATTAGGCCCTAAAACATATTTTGGATTTCCAAGTACATGTACATTGTCCTACATAATTTCCCCTGTAAAAGCCATTCTTGATGCTGTTTATTTGAATTTTGTTGAGACTGACAAATCCGGAAAAAAAAAGGGAACACGACATTTTTTTGTGTAACACAAATTATGTGAAGTTGCTGACACAAAATACAGTGTACATGTATGATGCATCATCTTTGTATGGCAACTGTATGGAGTCCTCTGGATGTGTTTTGATGTATCAATCTCTGATTGTTATCTACTTACAACACCTGCACCCGATTTCATCAAACTCTTCGTAACATTAGATACATCGCAGCGATGCGACGCGTCGTATCTCTACGATGCGTCGCAGCTGCGACGCGTCCTGCGATTCGTTTCACAAAACACGTCGTAAGTGCGACGCGTCGTAGGTGTATTTATAGCACAACTCGTTGACTGTTTTATGTATTTTGTCAGCGTACAGTAAATAGTCGTCTGATATTCAACAAAGGGTCGTCGGATCTCAGCTCGAAATTTGTTAAAACGTAAAACAAAATGGCGGCCGTGCGATGCAATTTTGAAGGAAAACAAGCTCTCATTGGACTGTATAGCTACTTTGAAATTTCAACTCTATTATTCCGGTCTAATTCATAATTATTCAATGAATTTTCCATTTACAACTTTACACACATTGCCTCGGTATTATAATCTCGTTAATGTAATGTTTATGGCATAAAACTGGCTTAGAAATGACTCTTCTTATTTTGCGACGACCACTACACACATCTTAACTTGCGACGTGTTTTAAGCCGTTGTCAAGGAACTTACAATGTACGACGGTTCAACACATCGCAACTTTCGTGAAATGGAAGATACGACGCGTCGCGAGTTGCGACGTGTTACACGTCGTAACTCGAGTTGCGACGCCTCGCAGCGCTTCGTGAAATCGGGTGCTGGGGTTGTTAATTCGTTAAAAATGCATTAGGCCTGTTAGGCCAAATGTTATCACTTCTGTAAAACTGAATGCTATCAATGTAAGTTACATGTACATGTATGTGGCATTCACTGTCTGTGTTTTCTACAAAGTTAATTTACAAACTAATATATTAACACACATACATACATGTATTTCATGCTTGATGGTTTAAACATATTCATTTACACATTTTGCTCACTATAGTAATATTAAGGACATAAGTACTGTCCATGCAATTGTCTAGCTTCAGCCCCCAAATTTGATTTTTTAATTGAGCACTGATTTTGACACATCGGATCCGGTGAAATCGGATGCCAACAAAATGAAACATGTTTGATTTCATCCAGTCGCCCAGTGTATGGTCAGATCGGTGTACATTTTCAGCGCATACTTACAGTGTACAAAGGCTTGATGATCCGATGTTACCTGTAAAATTTGAAATATGTGTACACTGGGCTTTAACCTATAGTCATGATGGTATGGTTTGTGAAGTCAGACATACATGTAACGGTTTAACCACAGCTCGATCCTGGAAATACACAATAAGAATTACAGCCTGTCTCAAAAAAATGGTACAATCGAAAACAATTTTTTTTTCAATATTAAATCTCAACATAAGTAAGTCGTTTTGAGCACCACATTAAAGAAAAAAGACCAGGCTTTCCAATACTTTTTGTTTCATCTCATTTGCTTTTGTCAATCCAGAGATAACTCCAGTTTACTGCGGAACACAAAAATCAAGTTTGTGCTACTTTCTGGTTGAGTATGGCACTGTACTCGAAACAACTCTGCCCATGCATAAAAGTGGCACAAAATCGATTTTGGTGTATTGCACTAAATTGATTCTATACATGTATCTCTGAATTGACAAAAGCAAATAAGATCAAACAAACACTATTGGAAAGCCCAGTCTTTGTTCTTTAATATTATGCCAAGTAAGAATGACTTATTTTGAAATTTCATATTTAACCAATTTTTTTTCTGATTGTACCATTTTTTTTGAGACAGGCTGTATACAAATGTACATAAATTTGTTCGCCCTGTTATTAACATATTATGTTGTTGTATATTTGTATCATTCCAGGAAACAATGGCAGGAACTTGGTGGCATGACCAAGGAAACTGCTATGCTTGAATTCTGTCTACATCTGGATAAAACCTGTACGCAGCTCAAACCGTACATCGAAGCCCACAGGAGGGAAAAAGAAGAGCAAGAAAGAAAAAGGTACACACACAGTAATGTGCACAAAATGTCATACATATGGAAGGTGGTTTAAATTACGGAAAAGAGTACTTTTTTATTGAGTGACCAGGCAAATGCTTTTTTGTATTGAAAGAAATAACACCAATTTCAGTGATTTTCCCATGTGCCATTACTCATTATATTTCTGGCCAATCTTAGGTACATGGACATGCAAATGTGGGCGCCATGGCACTGACCATGCATGCAAGAACAGGTGGGAGTGTGCCCGTTTCCGAAAATTTCCGGAGTTACTCGAATAAATTTTCTTTGACACCTGGATATTTTTGCCATAGCACGGGTATACAACAGTACAATGTATCCGTGTGTAAATTTTGATTTGCAGGCGTAATGCCCAGTAACTGTATTTACTGTCCATTTGGGCGTATCCACTTGGTACAAGGTCGGACCTTGGCTGCGTTACTATTTTTGAATGCGACGGTTACCTGACCTATATGTATGAGATGTCGGGTGATTGTCAGGTCAGGGAACCAGGCTTTTGAAAAAAAATGAGTACAAATGTGCATCGATCATGAATGTTCTAGTTCCGTATTCATGTACGTATTAAACATATTTGGCTTTCATGAAATAATGTCAGTCAATAACATAATATATCCCCTAAATGGAGCATCTAGAACAAAAAGGAACTTTCAAGTTGGATCATAAACCCCAAACCATGCTTAACCGTTAACCCTACCGTAACTCCCTGGGCATTTTTATTAGGATGCAACCTCAATCCTGCAAAATCCTGCAACTGCCACTATGTAAAAATTGCATACAGCCTCAATGCTCCAAAATCATCAGTTATTTCTTGAATGTGGTCCTTGGAGGGGTGACCACCGCCTCAATCCTGCAAAATCCTCCAGCAATCACTGTCAGTATGTTAAGGTAGAGCCAGTGACATCCTGGAGCAGTGCAGACGATTTCAATCCAGGCCTAAATATGCATGGCTAAGCATTAACAAAACAAGGTCCAGCCTAAGACACAGTGCATCCTCCAAAATATCAGGCACACATTTTTGCCATACATGTATACCGTAGCCTCAATTTCGCAAAATCCTCCCTATTGCAAAGATAATTTTGGAGGATTTGGGAAGATTAAGGTTAATTCTTTGCATTCACCAAGCTGACGTAACAGCTAAAAATGGTGTCCAATCAAGATGGCGAGCCAATTATATCGAAAATAAACGTTGTAGTGTATTGTTTTAATTCCATCTTTTTTTCAGGTAGTCCATGTAAATTCGTTTATGTGACCTCTCCCCAATCGTATCTTTAGGAGAGAAGAAGAAGAAAGACGGAGACAGGAAGAAGAAGTAAGAGAGAGACAACGACTTGAAGAGGAAGAAAAGCGAAGAGCAGAGGAGGAATTACAGAGACAAGAACAGGAAAGGTAGGCAGTGATTTTTAACCGAGCAGAGGTGGGGGTTGGGGAAGTGATGGAATTTCTGGTCTAAGCATAAAGCCATTGATGAAGGGATTGTTTGTTGCAAAACTAGGAATAAGGAGTTTTGCAGAGGAGCAACAAGAAAAGGTTTTGACACTGGTGTATTGGGGGGGGGGGGTGTGCAAAACTACTTCCTAAAATCCACAATCCTAGCCCCAAAAACTTTTGCGTGGAATTAATTGCCCAATTGATATATAAAAAACGTTACATGTAAATGATATTTTTGGCCTGCAAAATTGGGACTTTTAAAGGTTTGGCATAATTTGTTCAGAGCCTGTAATGTGGTCGGAGACAAGTGTATTGAACACATCCTTTCAAGTGGTTACTTCCGTATTTTGATATTCTTGTTTATTTCTGTGACAGGTTACAGTTTAAAGAGGCAATATATAAGCAGCTACTTCCACAGTTACAACCAGTCGTAGAACAGCAATATCCCAATAACCCACAGCAGGTGAGTCCCAACTTTACTGAATGTATGTAATCATCCCGAAACAACTATTTATTTACAATGAAGAAACGTGATCATCTGTCTTTTAACCCTAACTCCGGGCCCTATTCTACTGTTACACCAAAATCCATCAATCACACTGCTTCCAATGCATGCTTCGCTTTAAGCCTTCAAGCCCAAGTCCATCATACTCCATGAAATTTAGTCAAACCAGGCCTGCAGGACCAAGTCCACCAAAATGGGGGGATGGATTTTGATGGAGTTGAGGAATTTAGGGTTAATACTTGACCCGATTTGCATAAATGAATTTACAAATGAATGGCTGTTCAATATGGACAATACTTGATAGACAGAGGTTTCTTTAGCAATTGTCTCTGTTTCCTTTTTCATCTTCAATTTCCTGCGGTTTCTGAGTAGATTTCAAGTGAGCTTTTCAAGATCACATTGAAGTACAGTCGATTTCTGTATTAAAAGGCAGTTTATTACTCTTTGTTCTATGAGAACTGCTCTACTAGTACATGATGTAGAGCTTCAACCTTTTGAAGTACATGTACATGTACATGTATGTAAAACTCAAACCAATAATAATATTAATAATAATAATAATATTTTTTCCACTGTCACTCTTTACATAATGGGTCATAAAACGGCTGCCTACCGATACCTCACCTACATGTAAATAGCTTTTGTGGTTTTAACCTCTAAATGATTGTGTGACTTAACCCTGTGCCCCCCAACCCCCCCCCCCCAAAAAAAAATCCCAACTACAAAACTCAATACATGCATACCACCCCCACGTAGGCTAAGATCATCAGACTCCTGCCTTCTTCAAGTTCCTAGATCCCGACCCTCTTGGGGTGACCACAGCTTCTCTCACGCAGGCTTCACTCTCTGGAACAGTCTACCCCTCTCTATCCGTCAAGCTCCCTCTTCGATCTCCTTCAAACAAGAACTCAAAACCTACCTGTTCACACTCCAATGTCCTTTTCGGCTTGTACCTTGCAATTTATATGTCTTGGACTCAGCATTTATACATTTTGTAGTTTGTATAATTAATCATTGTATAGCGCCATGAGCGTCACTGAGTGATGGCCCTGTTGCGCTTAATTATATGCCACAATTATTATTATTGTTATTATTTACCATTTATCATCAGTTTTGAAAGCTCTCACAAAGCATTTTTTTGGTCATCTTTCTTCTCAACAGCAACAAGTTTTTCTACGGCAGTTACAGGAGCATTACTACCAACAGTACCTGCAGCAGTTACAGCAGCAGCAGCAGGGGAGAATGGAACAGCAAGGGGACAGCCCTGTCACAGGTCCGTAATACATGCTCTGACAACCATGCTTGCCTTAACCGTAATCCTCCTCGATCCTCTAAATTCCTCCTGCCCGTTTTTGAGGATTTTGGAGGATTGAGGCTGTGAATGGCAAAAGAGTGTCAGTTGATTTTGGAGGATGCATTTGTCGAATTCGTAGGTTGTACCCCGCATTGTTTATGTTCAGCTATGCATAATTGAGCCCTGCATTACGCTCGATATCATCTGCACTGCTTTAGAATGTCATCGGCACTGCCTCAACCCAATAACAGTGATTGTGGGAGGATTTTGAAGGATTGAGCCAATGGTCACCTCTCTATTGTACAAATTCAAGAAAAAACGGATGATTTTGGAGGATTGAGGCTAAATACAATTTTTGGTGGCAATTGGAGGATTTTGCAGGATTTAGGATGGTTCCTAGCCAATAAGGGCCTAGGGGTTAAGAGAGAAGCAGTATAAAGTTGGCAAACTAAGTAAAGTGTGTCTGGTGTTGATGTTTCTGAATTAAAATTATCTGAAATGTAAATGGATGGGCCGTTTAAGCTGAAAAATCAAAGAGACGGCTCTGCAAATGTGGCCATCCACCACTGATTGCAAAGTTGGAAAAAAAAAATCACTTTTAGGGAATAATGTTTATTTGAACAGAGTACATCATCAGCTTTTGAATGCACTCAATGATTGATTTGCGTAATGGGCTAAATCCGGCCCATTGTGTATGAACAGACTCCCAGTGAATAGCCATTGGGAATCATTGGAAAAGAATTTTGTGCGTTCTGGGACCCGTTTAACCAGGCTTTGGCTTTGTCTTGTGTAGAATGATATCACTGCCTACAGATTGTCATGTGCATCGGCAAATTGGGAGTCAAATTTTCGTGACGCGCATTGGCTGTGCCGCATTTCGAACAATTTTTGAATGGTTTCACGTATGGTATTTCAGTTTGATGTAAAACCTCTTCTGCCATAATTTCTTTGCATAGGAAGCAGTGGTGAGGTTTCGAGTGCCTCAACAACGGGTGATCTGGAGCAGGGCCTGACTAATCTTCAGCTGTCTAACCAGGCTCAGGCACCGAATGGGGATGTCAACAGGAGGGAAGACGAGTTACCAGACCGAGGTAAGTACATGTGTACACATGTACATTACATGTACGTGGCAACAAAATCTCACGAGTAGCTTAAACCATGCATGATATAGAATGAAGACCTTATATACACCAAAGCCCATGACCCTCGTAGGATGCTGGAAGAAACATCAATGGTATTTTGTAACTTTGAAAAATAGAAAAAAAGCGATATTTATCACAATATTTTGAAATTGTAATTTAATAAATGATGCTCTGTCTTGCTTTCATATCTGATTTACACATGCAATTCATAACCTGTTTATTAGAACTCGTTACTCTTTTTAGCAATTTTTTTTTAATTATGAGACAAATCAACCACTTTGAATGGAATTTTCAAAACCTGGAATAGCTTTTTGGCCAGTTTTCAAAGAAATATCCAACATGTTAGTACTGTTTTGATTGAGTGATTTTCTCCCTGAGAAATTTGGTTTACTTTAACCCCCTTTTATTTCCAATGAGAGAAACCACAAGATTTTTTTTTCCAATGGGAAAGAAGTGAATGAAACAAAGCATTTCAAGAAAATTAACCCCTAAAAATGTTGTCAGTTTGAAACCATCCATTCATCACAAGTCAATCACAAGTCAACCTGTCATCCAAGCGATGAACTATTTGAGTAACATTTGCTTAAAGGCATTCCTTTATTCGGTGTTCATTCCCTGTCACTTGTAACATAAATAAGGGAATAAATATGTGCTTGGCCAGTTTTAAACAAGTATGTTAAAGATCGGGAGCCTGGATGCGGATAATGGCCCGCACGTAAGTAGTACTAAAGATTTCTTTATATGGAGATAGGAACGCGCACGCTTGTTATGCGTGATGTGGTGCAGAACGTGGCGATGACGGGGAAAAGTGTTTAAAACCAGCCGGTGTTTTATCAACTGTTTAAAACCACCCATGTGATGGGCTCTCGACCAATGGGAATGGGTAAACTGTCTGAGGTATTTATGAATTGTGATTTGAGTCGTGATTAACTTTGGATTGACACGATTATAACTCTTTCCCCTGGTTCCCGCAGAATCCTTACCAGAGATCGCCAAGCCCAACTGCTGGACAACAGAAGACGTCCAGGATTTCAAGGAGAAACTGGCCAAAGATTCAGAGGGCATGATCCGCGTCGGTCACGGCGAGACGGTCACGGTCCGAGTCCCCACCCATGAGGAGGGCAACTGCATCTTCTGGGAATTTGCCACGGACTACTGTGACATCGGCTTTGGTTTGTACTTTGAGTGGACGGTTGCCCCTAGCAACGCCATCAGCGTGCATGTCAGTGACTCCAGTGAGGAAGATGAACTGGATGAGGATGAGGGTTTGTGCAAATCCATTTTTTTACCGTATTTTTTCTTTCTCTGTCTGTCTCTCTCCAATGATGCACTTTATGTGCTATTTTCAAAATTTCACCCTGAAAAATATAAGGGAATAAATGTGTGCTTGGATGGTTTTGAACAAGTCCGTTTAAGACCAGCTGGGGGAATGGATGCCGATAATAGCCTTAGCCGAAGGCGAGGGATATAGGTGACCAGGCCCTCAGCTGGTCTTAAACGGACTTGTTTAATACCGGCCAAGCACATATTTATTATCTTATATTTCATAGGAGTGCAATGAGACAAAGTTATGGAATAGTTTCTGTTCAAGTTTTGAATTTTTTGTGGCCCCGACAATAATGCACTTCTCAAGGCTGATTCCCACCCCATCCAATGTTGGGATAATTTGTATATCATTGACACCATCTTCCCATGGGGGCGTTGTTTAAAACTGACATCATGCTCAGTGTCAAACAATAGGTGGTGCTATTCGTTTTCCACAGGACGTTCAAACAAACAGCCACTCATGAAAAACAAGGGTTTTCGTGAAAAAGAAACAATAATTTGGAAAAAAAGACATTTTATGTTCAACTTGCTTATCATGGCAATTTTAGCATTTTAACCCTAACCCTGCCAGTCGTAACTCGGTGCATCAGGTGTAAAGGTCTGTGGAACCTTGCAGGCTGCTGCATTGAGCTATCAACACCAGTGCATATAAATGGTCATTTCTGACAAAATGAGAGTTAGTCACATTCAACAATGCCACAGGAGGTGACTACAAACTCTCGCGCAGTTTTTCCTTGAGTGATTTTAACCTGATGGATCTTGTGACACTGAGCAGGCTTGTCATGTTGACAAGTGTGTTGCATGTACATGTAGCTGGTTTAACAGGTTTTAAAAAAAATACCCCAGAGGGAGGGTGAATGGTGTTAGGCCATTAAATACCGTATATTCCCCCTCACTGTTCATGTATGAGCTGCATTCATGACTACATGAGTTGTGATAAAAAAAAAAAAAAAAAATTCTGTTGTTGTCAAACAACCCAGTAGCATTCCTGTCGTGTGGTCACGTTGAGTTTGTGCAAATTCCATTGAAATGTTGTTGCTTGCATTCTGAGTCGTTTGCATTAATGTGTGCATGTGATGTCAAGCCGTACCTGGTAGATGCCTTCTCCATTTTCTTTGTAGAATTTGTACTATCCCTATTTAGCCCAGGTTGGACTCTTCTGTTGTGTACACGCAACGGAGTCTCCTGCCAAAGCGAAAACAATTCTAAAACATTTACAAAATATTTTTACCTGATGGAGGAAGCTGAAATTTCGTTTACATCTTCCTTGTGTCCAGAATTATGCATACGCTTTCGTTGAAAACATTTTCAGTAGGAACTCCCCGTATGCGAGTGAAGAGTTACGCGCACGTGTGCATGCACACCCCGCACACAGCCGCATATGGCACGCGCGTGTAAGTCTTCACACGGGGAGTTCGTACTGAAAATGTTTGCAACGAAAGCGTGGAATTGCAGTTTAATTTCGGTAAACACATCGCCCACGGACATATTTGCCTTTTCTAAACCCAGCGTATGTATAATTCTGGACGCAAGGAATATTTAACAACATTTTAGCTTCCAGCATCAGTTAAAAATATGAAAAAAATGTTTTAGAATTTTTTTGCTATGGTAGTAGAATTAATACCCAGGACGTCAGTCGTAATGCAATGAAGATGTTGTCCAACCTGGGCTATATCCCCATTGAACTCAAGTATGTATAACACTTAAGATTACATCCGTTGATGTTGATACGATCTCAACATGGCTTTTTGGGTTGACGATAATCTGCGTAAAGGAATGGAAATTTCTGAAAAAATATACTTTTTTGAGAGAGGGGGGTGGGGGGCTGGTGTGTTATGGGGAGAACTGAGTTAAGGTCAGTTGTGCCATTGGCATTCTGTATTAAGAATGAATCTTTTTCCATTTTGTCTCTTCGATCCTCACCCTCCCTCAGATGGCAAGACAGACCCAGAGCGGGGTACCAAGGAAAGCGGTCCCCCTATCGATGAGATCATACCCATCTACCGGCGAGACAGCCACCAGAAGAAGTTCTGCGGGAGCCATCGGTACCCGGGCCGCGGAGTCTACCTGCTCAAGTTTGACAACTCCTACTCCCTATTCCGGGCCAAGTCGCTGTATTATAAGGTTTACTACACGCGGGATGACCGCTAATCTAGAAAAACATAACTTCGAAATATAAGCTTAACTTGATGGTTAAAGATACAAAGGAGCTCTTTGATCTACAGGCACACCTGTGGAAGAAGCACTGACCAATCAATGTTCAACTTGTTATCGTAATTGTTTTTGCATTTGTCTCTACCCAGATGTGATACCCTTGATGCCACTCAGTAATACATGCAGCACTCCTTTGTCCCACTCCAGTTGTGTGTAGGCTCGGGTAAAGGGGGCAAGCTTGCACAAATTATTGATAAGATGGAATTTGCGTTGGGGTGATGTAAATTCAATATTAGGTTTTGCCCTTCACTGACGTATTTTTGTAAACACTGTACACTCAGTGTTGTCCCGAGTGAGTGTGAAAAAAACTCAGATTTGAATCAGCCAGCCGACCACAGCAAGCTCGCTGGTCGAGTGGTAAGACGTTTGCACTAGTAAGCAGGAGGTCTTTGGTTCGAGTCCCACCTGAGTGATTTTTTTCTCTCAATCTCTCGGGACAACACTGAGTATACAGTGTTTATAAAAGTACGTTGGTGAAGGAAGTTTTGTATTCTTATAAAATTTGGAGTTCTTATATTGTGGTTTCAGGTGCAGGAGAAGGATTGTTGGACCAACATATAAAATTAATGCCTTAAAATTTGGCATAAAAAGAGCTTCTTCAAGCTTTTAAAAAGCAATATTATAATTTGGCATCAGTGCACCACCCCCACTCCCCTCTCCATATCCAGTAGCTTGAAACTACAAATTTCATTGTGATAATCTACAAGCACATTACTGCTTCCTAATGTGGAGTGGGAATACAAATTAACTTAAAGTGACCATCCCCGATTCCCCGATTCCGTGATAAATTATCTAGGAAAGTCCAACGGAGATGCCTTTTCAAGATACTGCATCAGGGAAAGATGTCTTCTGAGATAAAATTCCTTGGAAAGACATCTTTATGCAATGATGTTGACACCCTAGTGTTCCGTCTTCCAGTGATTGTTAATCAAGACAACATGGATGGTCGCTTTAAGCTTCCGTAAATGGTTGATGGGCAGTCATTAATTTTCAGTGCGTACTGCAGATGTGCCTGTTGATCTACCATTGCACCTATATGTAGCCTCTTGACAGAGTCTATTTTCGCGGTTGTAGCAACCATCAGCATTGTGAAATTTCCACGATATGACAAAGTTGGCCGTCCTTTGGAAAAACGCTGGTTGTGGTTTTGTTGTGTTCGCAAATACGACAGTAAATTGCATATCTTGATGTCAGTCATGCCGTCGCGTTTACCCAAGTAAGACAGTTCGCTTCAGTGTTAACATGAATGAGCATTTAACCTATGATGCAGAATTCACAACCTACTTTCAAAGGAGAGACATTTGAAGCTTGTCAGTGGTTAACATATTTATTGCAATTTGAGAAAATCATTAGTATCATAATTTATCATGACAGTGAAATTGCCATGATGACTGAAGATAAACAGTCGGCTTTGTAAACAAAGATTGTAAATAGGCTGTAAAGAGAGGTTGGTAGTAGGGGGATATCCGCTTTGTGTTGACTCCTTAGGATGCTTTTAGCATTCATCACCGCCAGAGCTAAGGATGGTTTTAAAACCTCCGTTCAGTTCTGTCTTCAGTTTCATTTCCACATTCAGAATCATAAACAAGCCATTTATATCCTAAGCAAACAGAAATACCCTGAACTTGGGCTTCATAATGTAGGATTTTGTTTTTACTGAAACAGAATATTGACCATATTGAGCCAGGGGCCACAGTGGGTCTAATCCACTGAGCTCCATGTCAAAAATCTGGATAGCTCGTTGGCCATTCCAAGCTGTATGTCAAAAATCTGAGCTCCATGTCAAAAATCTGGATAGCTCGTTGGCTATTCCAAGCACATGTCAAAAATCTGAGCTCCATGTCAAAAATCTGGATAGCTTGTTGGCCATTCCAAGCTGCATGTCAAAAATCCGAGCTCCATGTCAAAAATCTAGATAGCTCGTTGGCCATTCCAAGCTGTATGTCAAAAATCTGAGCTCCATGTCAAAAATCTGGATAGCTCGTTGGCTATTCCAAACACATGTCAAAAATCTGAGCTCCATGTCAAAAATCTGGATAGCTTGTTGGCCATTCCAAGCTGTATGTCAAAAATCTGAGCTCCATGTCAAAAATCTGGATAGCTCGTTCAAGCTGTATGTCAAAAATCTGAGGTCCATGTCAAAAAATCTGGATGGCTCATTGGCCATTGCAAGCTGTATGTCAAAAATCTGAGCTCCATGTCAAAAATCTAGATAGCTTGTTGGCTATTCCAAGCTGTATGTCATTAATTTGAGCTCCATGTCAAAATCTGGATATTGGCCATTCCAAGCTGTACACAAAAGTGAAGCTACGCACTGGTTCCCGATACCTCCATGCGAATGTGCGCAGGGTACCAGCCTCAACCACTCCCATTGTTCAAAATAATTAAACTAGAGTTGTGTAAAAGTACATGAAACTTTTTATTCTAAACATAATTTTTATATAAAATAAATTTTGTTGCCATATTATATTTTCTTTAGAAAACAAAACATTATAATTTTTTGAGTGAAAGGCGTACATGTCAATTGAATTATATTTCTTTCTTTACAAATCTATTGTTCTTGGAGTGGTAATATGGCAGATGGTGACTACATTTGTGTTGGCCAATGGGCTATCCAGATATATATGGAGATCATCAGTGATTCCCTGCAAAGCTACGTGTGATTCTCATGCGGATCAAAGAAAGACTTCTTTCAGACACAACAGAAGACAGTTTATCCAGGGGCCAATTTCACCGCGTTGCTAAGCACAAACACTTGCTTAGCACAAAAAAAAGACTGGCTTATAAAAGCAGGTTACCAGCCAAAACTTTATATGATGTATATTGCTCGTGATTGGTATTCAGCTGTTGTTTGCTTAGCATGAAAAACAGACAGAGTTTTGGCTGGTAACCTGCTTTTATAATCCAGACTTGTTTTGTGCTAAGCAATTTTTTGTGCTTAGCAGCGCCGTGAAATTTGGCCCAGGTGTTAAAGAGGAGATAACTTTTTGCTTTTAGTGTAGATGATTTTTTTTACACTGCTGATTATGGTAAATGTTATTTACATAGTTAAAGACATTGTGCCAAACCAAAATGCTATGTAGTCGCCAAAAAGAACCAAGATTCACTATAACTTTTGTTTTAACTTGACAAGGAAAACAGAAAGTGGCACCAGATTTTCCTACATTTGTTTGAACTTAGCTGTTCAGTAAGGAATGAAATATTTAAACAAATAAAATGTCTTTCATTGTGTGACGCAATCAAACTAACGAAAGATTCCTTTTTAGAAATAACAGTTGCTTTTGTTTGCCCTTGTTTGCCCTTACTTGCAAGAAGGAACATTTTACGTTCAACCTTATCCAAGCAATTAGGACTGTGTAGGTGTGAAATGTGGGGAAAATTCCACATTTAACTTTTTCCAAGAGGTTATGAATGTTTCCTGCCTGTAAAGATTTATTTTTTTGATATCACATTATAGTCTTAATAGAAAGAGCTTATGTAATTCGGAATATTGGTGACAGTTCAGTTACAATTTTATTTTTTACTGGATCGTTTCAGAATTTGTTTTAGAGTTAATCAGACGTATCCAATGTAAGCACAGCAAGAAGCATGATCCATGTTTCAATTGGACGATTTGAATTAGTTTGATTTTGGATATCTTTTGGATATATCCGTTGCGTTGCATTTTGTTTATGAATCAGTGGAATTTCGAATGGTGGAGGTTGAGTTGGTCCTACCCCTCCCTTTTTTATTTTCCTCCAGGATTCAACTGAAACATAAACATTTAACTTTTACTGGCAACTGAACAGCTAGAGCCACGCAACAAGAAAGTCTGTCTTCATGCATAAACAAAAAGACATAGTCAATCAGCACTGACAAAATTAATTTAAAAACAAATTGGCTAAGTGTCTTATCGAAAAAAGGCAAAGCAAAAAATTTCTAAAAGTAAAAGTCAAGCTCTCTGTACCCAATGAACGGCCACAGGAATCTTCTGGAGAAACATTTTTTAAGTAGACGTAGCGTATTTGGATTTGGTGTTCACAGGTTTTGCCCGTCTGTATGTTACTGCTCCGACTATAGCATAGTCCCAACTATAGTTGTGACTGTCCTATATATTACATAGTTATAACAAGGTAATTCGTAAAGTCTCAAGGACCTTGTTATAAAGGTGTTCGACTGTATATAGTTGGGACTGCCCTATATAAGGTTCGGACCGTCCCATCTGTAGTTGAGACTGTCGGCTAACATTAGACCGACCGCTCACTGCCATACCAGTTCCCTATATTGATACAAAAGTTATTTGCTTCATTGGAAACTTTGTTATGTCAGCATTTTTATACATCACATGCATGTTGGGGAAAATTACGCCATCAATTCTTTAAAATGTATTCTAAATGGATCGAGCACAATGATCTCAACTGGATGAAGAAAACCTCATATTTCGAAATCACCAGTTTAGGCTTCGCCTGTATTAATTCCCAGCATAGACCATTGGACGGTGCGCCAGACACTGACGACAAATTCAGGGACGGTGAAAGTTCAGAGTGTATTTTTCCTTGTGCGCATCACGTGTGCATGAACAATCAACGGAAACCTTTTGAGAAAAAAAAAAGGTTGTGGAGAGATTTTAAAGAAGATTTTAAAACTCGAGTGTGGGAAATAGCTATATTTTGTATAGTGGGTGGGCCTGTCATTTGATTTATGTTGATATTGCTGGGACACTGATATATTGTATTTGGTGTAAAATACATGTATATTGTTAATACATGCGTTATTATTTTCTTTTTGTTCAGTTTATATAAAAAAAAACAATCGTCGTGTAAGTTAATGTCATTGATATAAATATTAAATGCTTAAGAGTAAGTCACTATTCTGCCATTGTGTCATGATTTGCAACTTGTCATACATTGTACCATGCTCTGATGGTTTTGTAATGTCATCAATCCATACTGCGGATCAAGCAATGCCGGGACAGTCTTTCACGAAGAGAACAATGTAGTGTTAAAATTAAGTCATCACTCGTAAAGGGGGCATTACATTGGTCTTCATGGCTTGTGATTCGCCTTTCACTTCCAGACGCTATCAAGAGGAATGAGTGAGACTTCAGGGTTTGCATGGTGGACATGACCAATGAACGGGAGGTTTGCGGTAACACCATGTGAATGATATCTCTTTGTGAGTTGTTTGGTTCTGAGAAGAACCAGTTGGTTTCACACGACGTTTCGAACAATATGCACTGTTCGTCATCAGAACCACACAACTCGCAAAGAGATATAGAGGAACTCGTAAAAAAGACTCGTAGGAAACATGTTTTTAATGTTTGGTTAAGGTTCAAGGACAAAATCTGATACAGCCTTATCCAAGCAGAGTTGTACGAAGGACGCATAGTGCCAGTCGATAAGGGATGAATACATTTTTTTACAAACGGGTAAGAATATTTTTGTTTATACATTTAGCTGACGGCCGCAATTTAGTATCTGGCGGCAACCACTTATTAGTGTCAGTCGATAAGGGATGAATTTATTTTAGCTTGGAAACGCGCAAGAATATTTTTTTTATACAGTTATCTGGCAGCTGCCACTTATAATATTATAGCACGGTAATAATAGACCCATGGCGAATGCCAGGAGTCTTGCCCCGTGGATGGCGACCGCCACTTATTATCCGGCGACCGCCACTTATTATCTGGCGACCGCCACGGATTAGTGACAGTCGATAAGGGATGAATATTTTCTTGGAAACGCGCGAGACCTTTTTTGGTACTGTTATCTGGCGGCCGCCAATTAAAATATGACGGCCGCCACTTAATATCTGGCGGCCGCCACTCAATATCTCGCGGCTGCCACTTAATATGGTGGCCGCCACTTAATATCTGGCTGCCGATATTTGGCGGCTGCTATGCTTATTATCTCGTGAGAGTTCACGAAGGAACACATTTGCCCGCGGTGCGCTAAAATAAACAGAAGTTTTGAACAAATCAGGTTTTCACTTGAAGAAATGAAGATATTGCCTATTATAATAATATTAGAGAACATGTTGACCACTCATGCAGTGATGATAAAGATAGAAAGCTGAGATCTCAAACTGCAAAAATGTACCGAATAATTTAAAAACAATACATTAATTAATCGCTGATTAATTATTGTCCATAAATTTGTCTGTTCGTGAAAACTCGAAATCGACGATTTTTCCGCGGCACCCTCAATATGTCTGTTCGCGAAACACAAATTCACATACTCGCACTGTGTTTTTCCCATCAGACAACTTAGTTTCTACCTGAAGGGCCTACCTGAAAACAGCCTGACACTTTTTGGAGACACGGTGGGCCTATACCCGTATCCTTTGAAGTGTTTTTCTGTTTACAGATTTTGGTAAGTCTGTAATAATAATGTTTTTTTGTAAAAATTAATTTAATTTTTTCATTCAAAAGGTTAGATTTACTATTTTCAATTATTATTTCATAAAGCTATAGCATTATGACATCCAAGGTAACGACCTTGGATGATCCGATCGAGCGGCAAGAAGACCATGCAGCTAATTGATGATACAACCTATTCGTTTTCAATTTTTGCCTGATAAACTTGTTGTTTTAAGGCAAACCTTGAACTAGATTTAATTGAAGTTTTCATGATAAATGTGATCATGCAGTGCTGACTCTTTGCATTTTCTTCTTGCCAGCCTGGAAAAAATTGATTCACACGCGTTTACGTACCATACCCAACGCAAGCGGCGCTCCTTCAATATACATGTAATGACGTCATGCCGTTTCGTCGGGCGCTGTACATAAAAAGGTACCCAGTGTCCTTCCCGGCCCCGATCTTCCATGCTGCATTGCAACAGTACAGTCTACACATACGACCGTAGACTACAACGTGGAGGCTAGTTCTGTCCGACTGCCGTTATTCCGTACTTTCATCAAATTACTCGGTTTCATGGGACAGTCGAGAACGGTTTGAAAGGTAAATATAAAATAGGTGGGAAATAATGGGCGATCGTGTAGTGTAGGGCCCCTGTTTAGTTTCGCTCAAATTAGAGACAGATTTTACTCAAAAATGACCTTACTTTAGTTTTAGCTGGAGTTACAATGTACCTAGTCCGATAGCCCAGGTTGGACGAAGTCTTCATTGCATTACGACTAACGTCCAGGACGAGAATTCTCTACATAAGACCACCCAAAATTTGGACCAGATTTTTGTTACGTTTTACCTCGTTACAGAAGCTTATTTCACGCCTACATTTTCTATGTGTCCTTCTGGCTTCTCTATTGATCCTAGCCCCATAAATGTGGCCTATTTACTGGACTGCCTCCGTAAACATAGGCCACACATCCACATGTACAAAAATCGTGTCGACGGAGCCAAATTTTGATTTTCACATTTAGGCTTAGTTTGTAGGGTTTTTTTGCTTTAGAAGCATACTCACCCTCTTTATAGGCTAATCAGAAAGTGCTGCCTTCTTCAGATGTATATTTTTCGTGAAATTTCCAGATTCATTTTTACACGTTTGCGTATCAAAATTTCAACATGAAATTTCACAAAAATTAGACATCTGAAAAAGGCAGCACTTTCTGATTAGCCTGTAAAGAGGGTGAGTATGCTTCTAAAGCAAAAAAAACCTACAAACTAAGCCTAAATGTGAAAATCAAAATTTGGCTCCGTCGACACGATTTTTGTACATGTGGATGTGTGGCCTATGTTTACGGAGGCAGTCCAGTAAATAGGCCACATTTATGGGGCTATATTGATCCAGGGGTTCAGGAATTCCATATGTGATGCTGACCTAGCTGGAGTTACCCAGCCCTGAGTTTTATCATTGGGTTGTCATCTAGGGCTGGAGCGCATTTTTCTCAAAACTTGTAGTATTTGCAAAAAAAAGTTGGAAAATGTTCAATTTTGTCCCCGTTACACACTAATTGCAACTGCAACTCACCCCAAACTTGCCTGGAATAACCATTACACAGGTCCTTGAAGTAAAAAACGATCCACGATGAAGATTCAGCCTACAATTGCAGTGAAAATAGGAGGAATAACCGCTAACTTGACAACCTTGCTGGATTGGCCAGGACCGCTATTGGTTTGTGCACAAAAAAAATTGTGTACAATGAATGGCGGTCGATTAACAGGCACAGAGAGCGATCGCTGTCAACTACTCGTTTTGCCGGCTGCGCTGGCTGTTGGCGCATGACGTCACGCGGAAGCGTAACACCCGATGACTGTTTCATGCACTATTGGTTGCGGTTCCAGTACCAAAGCTGTGATGCGAGTGGTAAACCTTATACTAGTGCATAAAACAGTCATCGGGTGTTACGCTTCCGCGTGACGTCATGCCAACAGCCAGCGCAGCCGGCAAAAACGAGTAGTTGACAGAGATCGCTCTCTGTGCCTGTTAATCGACCGCCATTCATTGTACACAATTTTTTTTGTGCACAAACCAATAGCGGTCCTGGCCAATCCAGCAAGGTTGTCAAGTTAGCGGTTATTCCTCCTGTTTTCACTGCAATTGTAGGCTGAATCTTCATCGTGGATCGTTTTTTACTTCAAGGACCTGTGTAATGGTTATTCCAGGCAAGTTTGGGGTGAGTTGCAGTTGCAATTAGTGTGTAACGGGGACAAAATTGAACATTTTCCAAATTTTTTTTGCAAATACTACAAGTTTTGAGAAAAATGCGCTCCAGCCCTAATAGACAACCCAATGATAAAACTCAGGGCTGGGTAACTCCAGCTAATGCTGACCGACATTAATCAGGAAAATAAACTCTAAAGCAACGTTAAACTTGTACGTGGTTGTAGTCTCTTTTCATCAGTTTTATTCCCGAGTCGTACGTCATGTACGTGCGCACGAAAGCGCGCACGCACGCTAGCGCCCTCATTTGTTTAGTTTTGGTTGGAACAGTGACGTCACTCCAGCCAACCGATGTCACGAAAACGCTCAACCAATGACCAAAGCCGAAACGTGTTTCTGGTAACTGGCGGGAAAACACGCTCGGTCATTGGATTAGCGACCGCGCCTTCAAGTAAGTGCGCGTGCGTATGAGGGTGGTTACTAAGCAAATCGCGCGTGCGCACTGCATATTCATGCTGCATAGTCTGGCCCCCGGACCAGACGTGATATGAGCGTCGAGAATAATTGTCCGGTCTAGGGAACCAGACTACACGCTGCACAGACGTACATCATGTACGACTAGAATAGACTCGGCGGTGAGAAACTGATGAAAAGAGTCTACAAACACGTACAAGTTTAACGTTGCTTTCGAGTTTATTTTCCAGATTAAGGTCGGTCACCATCGCATATGGAATTTCTGAACCCAGCGGCCCAATAGATAAGGCTACATAGAATACTACGACGTAAAAATTAGCTTCTCCAACAAGGTAAAAATATTAAAAATACTGGTCATAATTTTTTTCGCCCGGTTTTGAGCACTTTATACCCTGGACTCCCTCCGTTACGTAGGGAGGAAAGCAGGGCTCGATTTACAAAAAAAAAGTTGCATGCACTGGTGCATGTAGACCAAAAAACCTACATGCACCAAGAAAAACCCACATGCACCATAATTGACTTACACCCGTCTGCTTCTCTGAAGGCATTCTTTCTCTTTGATTTATCAAACTTTCTACAGACAGTACAGTAAATAGCCTTTTTTACTCGATCGTGCTCAAGGCAAGCCTAGACCCGTGAACGTGGCGTTGTACACAACGCCACGCTGTTGTGGCATTTCGAACATGGCGAAATTGATCCGCCATACATAATTTCGTACATATGTTGAGTACTCACATAGAAAGCTAAATTTGCCTTCCCGTGTGTTCAGGATGTGTCATTTCGACGAAATTTGCCGTCGATGAAAACCCATACGAACGTAGAAATTGGATTTCAACCTGACAAGTGCCACAAGTACCCAGGGTCATTTACGTGCAAAATTATCAGAGTCCTCCGAGCTACCCGTCTGCTTCATGTGGGGCATATGATAGGCGGCGTCCGATAACGAGACCACGTGATAAACGCAGCTAATAATTTGGAATCACACTTATGATCGGGACATATGAATGTCCGGAGCATCAGTGCGATACCAAGTTATCAGCGGCATGTATCACGTGGTAAATCACGTGCATGATCGGAGGCGGTTGCAGGACGATCTTCCCAAATTCTACCGCGTACTCGATACTCTGAATCTGCCGCGAGGAATAATTTATGGATATATAAAAGAAATAACACGTTTGTACACTATCTGGTCAAGTATTCAACAAACTTTATTCTTATTCTCACTCATTTGTAAACAGTAAATATATGCATGAAATGAGTATTTTGGCGGCTAAAAAAGTTACATGCACGTTGTGCATGCTCAGTAAAAAAGCTACGTGCACAAGCAAAAATCTACATGCACTGGTGCATGCGTGCACCCGGGTAAATCGAGCCCTGGAGGAAAGAAAGTCCACCTGGGCTACCTAGTCCGAGTAACTTGGACCCAACTTATCGCCTTTTTAACATTCGGACATGGTCTGGCGATAGTAAGGTCCAAGCTAAAAGTGCGAGCTGGACAACATCATTCTGTCACTGTCCCAAAAACCAACATTTTCCAACAAAAACCATCAGATTTCACCCTCAAAACGGCCTCCAAATGACTAGATATGCCACCCGAGGTACAAGTAGACATCGATGATAAAGATGGTTGTACTGAAGTTTACTTACGATCCGGAAGAAAAGTGAAATTTCCCGTTCAATTCTGAGAGCTCCCCTCGCGATCTTGAACACGTTAAATTTCCGACTCGTGTTAATGTTTGAACGACGCGATTTCTTCTTCATGCCCAGCGTACATTCGATGGTCCCCGTATCCCGAGTGCGATTCCGTTACCGAGCGCGCGCGATGCATCGATTATGATAATGAGTCACATATGTAAACACAAGTGCATTTCGAACTGTAAAAGGGAATCGGGAACCAGCTTGAACTGGTATCCGCCATAAAAGCTGCGCTAGTTCCCGACTCCCTATTATCGTTCGAAATGCACATGTGTTTACAAACGTGATCCAGTCCACTCATTATCATAATCGATGCATCGCGCGCGCTCTGTAACGGAATCGCACTCGGGATACGGGGACCATCGAATGTACGCTGGGCATGAAGAAGAAATCGCGTCGTTCAAACATTAACAGAGTCGGAAATTTAACGTGTTCAAGATCGCGAGGGGAGCTCTCAGAATTGAACGGGAAATTTCACTTTTCTTCCGGATCGTAAGTAAACTTCAGTACAACCATCTTAATCATCGATGTCTACTTGTACCTCGGGTGGCATATCTAGTTATTTGGAGGCCGTTTTGAGGGTGAAATCTGATGGTTTTTGTTGGAAAATGTTGGTTTTTGGGACAGTGACGGGATGATGTTGTCCAGCTCGCACTATTAGCTTGGACCCTACTATCGCCAGACCATGTCCGAATGTTAAAAAGGCGATAAGTTGGGTCCAAGTTACTTGGACTAGGAGTTACCCAGCCCTAAATTTTATCATTGGGTTGTCATTTAGGGCTGGAGGACATTTTTCACGTGAACCAGCAGAGTTGGCAGGCCCCAAAAAAAATTCGAAAAAATTTCGAAAATGTGCAATTTTGTCCCTGTTACACGCTAATTTCAACTGGAACTCAACCAAACCTTGCCTGGAATAACCATTACACAGGTCCTTGAAGTAAAAAACGATCCACGATGAAGATTCAGCCTACAATTGCAGTGAAAAAAACGAGGCATAAACCGACAACCGTGCGGTCATGGCGAGGCCCGCAATTGGATTTGTGCACAGCGCGTTTACCAGTTCGTTCTTGCCGGCTGCGCTGGCTGATGGCGCATGATGTCACTAATGCGGAAGCGGATTACCCGACGACATACTTTGTTATTTAAAAAAAAAAGAAGTTCTTTGAGTTTTCACGCTTTTAAACTACTGTTTATGATTTCTCTTCCAACAGCACTAGTGTCTTTCTGTTCAGCCAGCAACCAGTTCAATCCCTCGGCGAGATGAACTTCCGTCAGCGCATGGGTTGGCTCATGGTGGTCCTGTTCCTGTCTCTCAGTGCTCTGATCTTGTACTACATGTTTGAAATCAGCGAGACATACAATGGCCTGATGTTGGAGCATGTCCAGTCCTACGCCAGCTCACTCAAGAACAATCCCGGCGGTATCACGTGGAGACAAACCATCACCAATCACCTGGTATCTCTCCCCTTCTGGCTCTGGGTGGTGATTCTCATGGTGCCCTATCTACAAGTGTTCTGCCTACTGATTGCGTGCACCAAGAATGACCCCTTGACAGCCAGCATTGCCCTGGCACCCGTCTGTTTGTTTCTCAGACTATGCACGTGTAGGACCAGTGAAATGCCCAGCAACCAGTACGGACTGGACGTACCTGTACACACTTGAGTCGTCCGACTTCCCTGTACAGCATGATGTTGATATTTTCAAATTGGCACTCTCGAGTTTGGATTCTTGAAGTGATAAATTCTACAGGCAGGTTCCACGTACTGCTGCAAGAAACTCAGTCTTCATGTGAAACGGTGGTAGTCTTGCACTTTTAGAAGTTTTAGGTGGGAGGCAGTGTTTTTTTCTCTCTCTATTTGACTTGTTGAAATGTTTGTTACTTTGTTATACTTGCTACTCAAATTGAATTAGGCCCCCCCCCAAAAAAATAATAATTCTGCTTCCGATTACATGGCATTCTAAAAATAGGGTAGGCAGGTGGGGAATTTTGTGTGTGTGCGATAATAAGGAGGCGTCTTGGTGTAGTCAAGGGTAAAAGGTAGTGATTGATGGTTTTGGGTGTTTTTTCCCTCATTTTTCCAATAAAAAAATTAGGGTAGGGGCTGTCAGAATAGGGTAGGTACTAGGCAGGGAAACCTGAAGCAGGTATTTTTTGTTTTTGGCCTTAGTAAATCGTATTTTCAAATACTGCCCCATATTTTATCAAATTTAGTTTTTAATTTTGTTTGCAATCAGTAATCGGTTACACATCTGTGAATGGGTGCAAGTCTGCTAGACTGGTTCCCTGACCTTACAATTTCCCACTGATCTCTATACTGACTGGATAGCGCTTTCGACCTATGCATGTGCACAAGACCGTATCGCCCTCGCAAAAACGCGGCGGCCATTTTGAAGCTCCCTAAAAAGCCCCACAACAAGTCCCACAATGCATGGATCTGTATATAAAAAACACAAAATTACAATAGTTTAGGAAGCGATTGTGGATCATCAAACACGTCTTTATTTATTCATTTTGCCAACAGTGTTATTTTACTCAAGTTAATATTCGTTGCAATATTTAATTTGGTTTTATGACTGTGCATGCATGTACTTTTACGTGGCCAAAGGGAGCTTCAAAATTGTGTCCAGTGACTTCATCTCCCATGGCCCAAAGCGTTATCCAGTCTGACATTATAATAGAGATCAGTGGAATTCCTCGACATCTTTAAATTACTCCAGACTACAAGAACGGCATCTTTTTCGTGGTTTTTCCAGCATATCTGAACACAAAACAGGGCAGTGTAACAATAATTTGCCCTACTAATCCCAAATCCATCCATATCCGAAAATCACAGCAATGCAAATGTTGTATGTATAAATGTACAATGTATTACCTTTAAGGTGCTACTTGAGTCTGTACAACAAGGTTGCCAGTGCCAATCACTTGTTTCAGATCAGCTGGGCCCAATTTCATAGAGCTGCTTAAGCAGAAAATTTGCTTAAGCACGAACAAAAATTGCTTAGTAAAATTAGGTTACCGGCCAAAACTCCATGTGATGTACATTGCTTGTGACTGGTATTTAGCTGTTGTTTACTTAGCATAACAATCGCATGGAGTTTTGGCCGGTAACAGGATTTTATTATTAAAGCAAGACGTTTTTGTGCTTAAGCAAATTTTGTGCTTAAGCGGCTCTATGAAATTGGGCCCAGGACTCATTAACAAGGAGCTGCTAAGCAGGGAGGATTAATTAAACAGTATTCTTTTTTTTTGGTAAAACGTTCGGGTATTCGGTTGATGATTGAATGTTCGGGTTTTCGGCATATTCGGCAATCGGGCATATTCGGCATATTTGGCACATTTGGCCAGTGGCGCGCACCCAGGATTTTGGGGGGGGGGGGGGGGCTCACAATTGTTTTTCCCAATTTTTTCAGAAGAAAAAGTTGGGTTTTTGTTTGGCGTTTGACGTTGGTGGCGTGACTTACACCCTTATTTATACCACTCCAAAATAAGCCACATCACCAAGGTCAAATTGACAACCTCTTGGGGGGGGGGGGGGGTCTTAAGCCCCACCAATTGCCCCTTGGGTGCGCCCCTGTATTGGGCACATTTGGCATAGTCGGCACAGCCTATGCGCTGCAGTCATCTTTGAGGCGTGTGCTTTGTTCAACAGGGATTGTCAATGAATTAAAATAACAAAACACATGTCAAAGATAGCTTCTGAATGCAACAAACATACATGATATTGTGAGTGGTAGCCTATACGTGCTGAGCAAAACATTTTTGTTTTTAGCTCAATTCTGTCCCTTAACCCAACATGTACATGTACAATGTAACTCCCTAGCATGATTTACTAGGAACCACACCCAACCTGGCAAATTCCAACACCATATGGGAAACTGCACACATATATTTGTGACTTTGATTCTGGAGGTGTGCCAACCCAGTGTAAAAGACTGTCAGTTTAGGGGTACTGTACCCATCCTGACAGATTCCAACAAATCATGCCGTTGGGGTTTGATGGGTTGAGTTCTGTTGGGGTTCATTTCAGCCCTATAAATTGGGCCAAGGGCCAGGCTGCATGCATTACCCTGATATGTTTTGTTTCCATGCAGTTGTAATGTACATCACAACCAATTGTAATGTGCTGAAGGTGCCATATGGCATGTATGGGAATGACCACAATATGTTTCCATGGCTTGTAGAAGGAATTCAGTTTGATAGATGTATACATACAAAAATCAAACACTTTCAATCTCAGGCTGTGCTCCGTGGTCATATATGGGTCGATGTGGCCGGCAGCCATAGGCGCCTTTACGTGCCAGCGGCCCGACCACGCTGTAGCCGCGTCCTTCGCAATTCAGCATCCCAGCTGCCAGTAAGGATGATTAGCCTCCCAAATTATTATTATTAATTATTACATACATTTGAATAATTGGTTAATTAATGCAGACCTGTGTGTTATTATGGCCTGGCCGAGTAAGTGTACAGGTACAACTTCTGTGCAAACACCGAAACAGGTGTTAGTCAGCATGTTGGGCTTGCAGGCATAATGTTTACATGTATATTTGCCTTCCTCACAAATGTCATGTGACAGCCACATCGCTTCCTTCACATGCACATAATCTCGTCTTTCAGATTGAGCTCATGTAACGTACTTTATTGAATTACTGGGTTTTTTTGGGGGGGGGGGGGTAAAATGTATTGCAAATTTACATTGTTTGCAAACGACTTAAGACATCATGACGCCACGCTTTGTTTACATAATAATCATTATAATTCATGTAATTTTCAATGCATGCAAGTACACAATTTTAGGCGATCTCCAGTTTACAAGCTCTGTTTTTTTGGAGGCCTCCTCCAATTATTGTTCAATCGAAGTCTCACAATGACGTGTACAAATGTACATGTACTGTTATTTCCTATGATGAAGTGAATAAGTGTAAATACATGTAAATGAACTGAACTGAACCGAACATGTGCGCTTTGCTATGGGAGCCAGATTGGCCGGCCTCACCAGTCACCACCTGGCTCCAAAAGGAAAGTGCATATGTAAACAAAGCATGACGGCATTATGGCTTAGGTCTATTGGCAGATGTACGCATTTATGTCCAATTCGTGTTAGACTGGCACCCTATACTTAAAATGAGCTCAGTTTGGAGTATTTTTTTCTGAAGAAAAGTCTGTGTTGGCCTTTATAAAAAAAATTACTTCATACGGTTTCAGGTCTAGGTTTCCAAAAATTCTGATTAACTTAATTTCTTCACAAAAAATGATACCTTTAACTTGAACTTGAATCATACGCCGCAGATTTGTAGAATATAGCGCCTATTTGTAAGCGATTAAATTGCCTTTCTGTCTTGGACTGAAATGCCATACTCATTGTATATGGTAATGGTATGTACATGTATGTACTGATGCTTTTAAAATACATAAGAACTTATAATATCTTCAAGTTCTTATTATTATGCTTAATGGTCAGAATTCATCCCGAGGTTTGTTGAAACCATCAGTTTTTGGTATCATTGCAGGGCATGAAGTTGAGAGAGCATATAGGGGCTCAAGACCAAAATGTATTGTAGTCAAAACAGCTGCAAATTCCATCCCTCAGAAGGAAATGCAAATGTAATACAAATAATTTCAAAAGAATTCATGTATAGTGGGTTTTTATTATTTCTCTTAATTTGTTTTTGTATTGTTTGTTTTCGTAAAATACATGTGTAGATAGGTAAAACAAACACAGCAATAGATAGGTAAAACAAACACAGCAATATTTTAAACATGGCAAACGTACACATCATCTGTCCCTGTAGCAATTAAAAGGATATCTAATTCAAATGTTTACTTCTTGAATACATTTTTTTCCAGGCATGAGTGAAGCTTTTACAATGTAATACTATTATGTGGAAACTATTTTTGTACACCGGAAAGTACACACATGTATTTACTTACATGTAAAAGATGTGTATTTTCTACTTTTCTAATTTATTTGTACAGTGCGCAAATGTGTATGGCATTAATGGTTAAAAACGTAAACAATTAAGCTATAAGGATGTATTGTCTGTGCACTTCTACAATTTGCTATTGTTTTCTCCTATTGACATTTGTCTTTTTGTATTGTTTTGTTTTATTCAAAGGTGAGTAACTTTTAAATCGCTCGAAAATCAAAAACTTAAAACAAAATTTTTTTGGGGGGACAAAACTGGAAAATTGCACAGACAGTACATCTATTACAAAGCTAGCTTTAACTAAGCCAAGTTGGCGTTAATCATCAGTAGGCGAATTTTACATCTGAGTACATGTTCTTGTTTTCAGTATAATATCTATTTATTTAGATTAAAAAAAAGAACAGGGATTGAAAAAATTCATACTTGGTATCTTTTTGTGTCAAGTGCAAACTTGTGCATGTAACTGGGCATGCTAGAGACTAAACATCTTCTCTTATTCTTCTGTTTCATTTGTTCCTGTTTATATTGAAATAACCCCACTCACAGTATTAAGAATGAGGGACACATTGACATTATATGTAATGAAAAGTGGTAGAGGATTTCTGCAAGGTACATTAATGTAAAGAGTTTAAAAACGATGCCCGACACGGGAAATAAATGCCTGTTTTGACGGCTTTAGCTTCCAACCTTTATACCCTCAAAGTTTTTAAAAAGTTATCATGTCGGAAACATCAATACTACATTTATATTTGGTTTTCCTAGTTCTATTTCAACCATTAGAAAAGCCACACGTTTGTCTTCATTAACGTGTACAGCAGTTATGTTAAAAATGGTTGACCAAATGTTCGCTAAGAACATTATCTTCATTATCTTCTTTCAGTGGCGCACTCGAGGGGGGGGGGGGGGGAAGGGGGTCTGGGCTTGAGCCCCCCCCCCCCCACCCCCCCCCCCTCGAGTGCGTCACTGGTCATGCAAAATCCAACCAATCAGGGCGTGAATTCATCAGAGTATCCCAGCGTCCTGTTTGCGGGGTGGGGGGGGGGGGGGTACGCTGGTCAGCCGACCAGCGTTGGAAAAAAATACCACTTTTTCTTGAAAATGACAGTATACCAGGTGCCATGATTTTACAGGATGCTTTACATTGTCATTCACTAACAGTCCAGCAAGGTATTTCAAAATGATTTGGTAGTTTTATTTTTTTGATGTTTGTGTAACCGTGAAAAATGACACACTTGGGGAACTCGCAAAAACTAAAGACTCAATGGGGATTAACTAACAAAACTAAACTAAACTCAGGATCTTTGAAGGGAAAAGTCGCGAGGAAATTGAATTAATAGAGACCAGAGACGAATTCTAGATTTCAAACAAAAAAAGGACCAAAAAGAATTTATTCACAAGAACCTTAAACCAAAAACCAGAAACTAAAAGCAAAGAATAAAACCTAAAATCCAAATACTTAAACCAAAAAACCAAGAAATTGAGACTTAACCCTAAAATCTAAAACCAACACAGTGTGAATAGTGGATCTTTCAAAGAACACTCAAGCAGGAATAAAGTCAAAGCAAATGACTCAGCAACAGACTAACTTCAAGCAGAACGGGCACTCCAGTTAGGAGGAAAATATATGCATGTATGTCTATTGTCTGCTGGTCTGCTGGCTGAACTGAAATGTGACTTGACCATGTGGCAGCTTTTATAGGGGGAACATGTGGGCTTAAGTAAACAAACAGGGGGTCACACTACCAACAAAGGGGGGGGGGGGGACATCTAAACTTCAACTAAAATGATTTTCTGTTTCTAAGGGGAGCTACTCCTATTTAATACACTATAAAAATACACAAGTAAAACTTGGCACTGCCACACTCACGCCATCTTTAAAATGTTGGCTCCTGACAACACAAAAAAAAATTACATACAAAAATACATGTATTTATATATACAAAATTATTTACTTCGGAATTGGACTGAGGATTTGATTATATATCTAGGCCTGGTGAAAATTTCCACTGACTCGTCAGAGCTGGAGCTACAGTCTTCATCCGCTGAATCTTCAAGATCCGAACTTGAGTTGGAGCCTGTCTGTTCTCGTTGCTGGGGTTCATCGATGGATGAAGACGCCGCGTTGTCATACTCGGACGACTGGCGGATGATACAAACATCTACCGAGGCTGTGTTCTTGCACGCATCTTCAGACTTGACTGGCGGGAGGACTCTCTCTTTTTGCAGAACCTGCCTTCGATGATGCCGCATGTATTGCATCGTCTCGTTGTGGAGACTGGGCCAGAAGTACTGGTGGCGGACGAGATTCAGCACCTGTCCAAAGCTAAATGTCTCCATGCTTGGGTGTAAGGTTGTGAAGAACTTCACCCTCATTCCTCTGGGAAGAACTGGAACCACTTGATGTCCTCTTCTGAAGAGTAGAAAACCATCTCTGACCTCCAGGTGCTCCCATACATGTAGTAATCGCCGTACCATCTTCGGCTGACGCGCCATCTTACTCTGGCTCATCCTCTTCGGATTTACGAGCTTCAGGTCCACTACCCTGCTGATGGCTGGATCCTGTTGCTGTGCTCGGCGCAGACTTTGGCTACGTCTCATCATGTCCTCATCACCTTGGCTTCCTCGGCCACTGGTCGGGACTGTGGTAACAATTACTTCTGATGGTCTGCTAGAGGGGATGTGAGGGGTCTCTTCTCTGCTCTTGTGGTCTGGTTCATCGATGGGGACTGGGGTTACAGGGACATCTTTGGCTGACTTCGTTTGATGTAGGGCAGACTCCAGGCTCTGGATGTACAGATGTTGTCTTTGCTGTTCTCCAACAACTCGCGAGATGACAGCCTTCAACATGTCCATTTGTTGAAACTGTTGAAGGATGACTTGTTGCATTTGAGCTTGATGCTGCAGCAGCTCCAGGATCTGCAACTGCGGCTCAACTACTGGCGCTGGGCTAACTCGGTCAGAGCTGGTGGGCAGTGGGTCAAATCCACACAGCTGAAGGGGAGTCAGGACGTCAGCTGCCATTGTGCACTCCTTGGATCCACTAAAACAGCACTGTGTTGGTTTTGACTAACTAATATAAGACCGCCAATGACAAAAAAAAACCCTTTGAAAAAATGGCTAGTCCCTATTAAAACAATTCCTGGCTAAGTTCTAAATAACATATTCCCTACCCGGATTCTCCACCAAAAATAGTAAAAAAATGTAACCGTGAAAAATGACACACTTGGGGAACTCGCAAAAACTAAAGACTCAATGGGGATTAACTAACAAAACTAAACTAAACTCAGGATCTTTGAAGGGAAAAGTCGCGAGGAAATTGAATTAATAGAGACCAGAGACGAATTCTAGATTTCAAACAAAAAAAGGACCAAAAAGAATTTATTCACAAGAACCTTAAACCAAAAACCAGAAACTAAAAGCAAAGAATAAAACCTAAAATCCAAATACTTAAACCAAAAAACCAAGAAATTGAGACTTAACCCTAAAATCTAAAACCAACACAGTGTGAATAGTGGATCTTTCAAAGAACACTCAAGCAGGAATAAAGTCAAAGCAAATGACTCAGCAACAGACTAACTTCAAGCAGAACGGGCACTCCAGTTAGGAGGAAAATATATGCATGTATGTCTATTGTCTGCTGGTCTGCTGGCTGAACTGAAATGTGACTTGACCATGTGGCAGCTTTTATAGGGGGAACATGTGGGCTTAAGTAAACAAACAGGGGGTCACACTACCAACAAAGGGGGGGGGGACATCTAAACTTCAACTAAAATGATTTTCTGTTTCTAAGGGGAGCTACTCCTATTTAATACACTATAAAAATACACAAGTAAAACTTGGCACTGCCACATTTGCAAATGTTGTATTTTTCCTTTAATTGTTGGCCAACCCGATCATTTTATAAATTCATACAAAGTCCCATTTTGCTTGAAAATGACAGCCTGATGAGCACACCAGGTGCTTGTAATAACGGTAATGATTGTCAACATTTAAGTCCCATCATGCAGTTTGATTTGGGTGGAAAATAATCACAATTTACGAATGTCAGACAAGTCGACCGTTGAGACAACTCGACCGTTGAGACAGGTCGACCGTTGAGACAACTCGACTCGGGACAACTCGACCGTTGAGACTGTTCGACGAAAATGGAAATGAATACACGTGGAGCAGAAAAAGTTGCACAAATCTGTGGCCCGCCCGCCCGCGAGGACCGGGCCGGGCCCAGCACGTGGGCACGTCGACCGGCGCGGCAAATGGGCGCACAGGCCCGGCAAAAACGATGCCACCGTGCACGGTACGGCCACGTTGACCGGGGTTGCGCGCACGTGGCCTTGTAAAAAACGAACGATGTGCACGGACAATCACGCTGCGCTATATCGGCTCTGTTATTTGCAACAAAACAAACTCATGTGTCATCACTCCCAAACGGCAATCAGCCGCCGTCAAAATTCCCGGTACTATCCCCGAAACTAAGCCAAAACATGTGAGGCAACTTGTCTCAACGGTCGACTTGTCTTTTCCATTTATCGCACATACGGTCGAGTTGTCCCGAGTCGAGTTGTCTCAACGGTCGACTTGTCTGACCCCCCAATTGACTCTGCATTGGTACCGCACATTATTTTGAGGGGCGAAATATATTCCTGATTTTAATTATTTCTTTTCCTAGCATAGCAAAATCGGATTAAGTGAAACTGACAAATGCCAGATAACTTTCTCTATAAAGTACATCCAAAGGAGTAGCCTGTGGTTTAGCCCGACTGCGTCTGGCCGTACAGTACTATCGCAAGCTCTGTAGTACGGCCAGACGCTGAATGCTAAGATAAGAGAAATGATGGCTCTATCCCATTCAGAGACGCCTCTCCTATAGATTGGCTTGTGAATAAAGAATGTGCGTGAGAACAACACATTGAGTTATTCGATGGTGTGATATTGTGTGGTTTATTTCTTCAATTAAGACACATGAAGGGGTCTTAAAACTTGGGTAGAAATAAGAGGGAGAAATCAATGGAAGTTTTGACCGTAGCCAAGTTTACCCAGGCAGTGGGGTGGGTTAGGTTTTACCTGAGGGCAATTGCGGGAATGCATTTTCGTCCCTTCGGGGACTCATCAGCCGCTAGATTCAAAGAATCTGTAGGTATGGGTTAGTGAGTTGAATGGAGCTCACTTTGCGGAAACGATTGCGTCTAAGTTATCCGTTATTTGTGATTACAACTTCATTCGGATGGGATTTGTTCATCCAATAGTGAAATTAGGATATCAAGTGTGTTATCTTCGTTCTCAGTTGTGGAGGATTGGTTGTCTTCCGTATGGCTGAGTTTGGCTCTGACAAGTCTCTTCTTGATGTTCTCAGCTATCTTATAGGCAACTAGAGGAGGTTTCGGGAAAACTTCCTTCAAGGTTGGTGTTCCACTGAGCCAGTGACCTGTGAGATTGTGACTGTAGCTTGAAGAGCGCCCTCTATTGACTGTAGTTTATTGTTTACATGTGGTTTTGTCAGCCATGTTTCAGCATGTTTTACTGTAGCAGTTTTTAGCCGAAAAGTTTGTAGTCAAACCAGCAGTTAATCAGTTTCTACTTCAGAGATTATGGACACCTGGTTATCCTAGAGTCTTGCCAAAGAAGTGAGTAGTTTTTCAGTTGTTTTTTATGATGATATAAGCCCTTATAAAAGCAGACATATTTCACCAGTTTTCATGTGGAACTTAAGGTACATGTACATGTACATGTACATGCAACTTGTTTACAAATTACATGCAGATGAAGTACATGAACGTATAAGAAGTTTCCCAGCTTTTGCCAGTTTCAGACCAGATAAGAGAAATTAGGGATTGTTTATTAATGAAGGATGTTACTGAGAACTAAGGAAAGTTTGATATGTTTCCCAAGTATTTTCTGGATTATTAATAAGGTTAAAGGAGAGTTTTAAGAACCACTTTCTTACTGATAAGTTAGCACCCTTGATTTAGGATGACATGTATTAAGGATCTCTTTTTTTGTTTGTTTATTTACAGTTCGAATTACATTAAAATACGAAAGCAAGATTTCTAGTCCGTGTCACACCTGTATGCCTTACTCCTCGATGAGCCACAACATTCGAATTCTGTTCTGCTAACCTGGGATCAGAAGGGAGTACAGCACAGCACCTGTATCAGAATGACCGACTCCACAGTAAAGGAGTTGAAGGTCAAAAGACGGAATGCCAAGGCGGCACTGACAAGACAGGGAAAAGCCCTACGCTCGATGATTGAAGGTAACAGGGCAACCGTTGAAATTTCAAGTCAGCTTGAAAAGTTTGAACTGGTGTATGACAACCTAGTTCAGAAGCATGAGGCTTATACCGAGCAGATTTTTGATGATGATGAATTTATTGCCGAAGAGGAATGGTTGGAAGAATGCCAACAAAGGTTCATAGCATTGCAGTGTGAGGCAAAAGATCATCTAACTCCAACACCTACTGAAAAAGAGTTAAACCCGAAAGCAGAAGACAGTGCCAGTACAGAGAAAACTAGTTCCAGTAATGAGCAGTCCAGTTCCAGTGCAGAGCAGTCCAGTTCCAGTGCAGAGCAGTCCAGTTCCAGTGCAGAGCAGTCCAGTTCCAGTGCAGAGCAGTCCAGTTCCAGTGCAGAGCAAATATCCAGTGCGGAGCAAACCAGTACAACTTCCAGTGTCAAGCAGATAACAGAATCTGATAGCCATATCAGCATAAATGAAGCAGGTGATCAGGAGGAAGAGCAGAAGAAAATGAATACAGCAACCCATGATGTCGACAAATTCTGTGGGTTTAAAATGGAAAAGCCAAAGATGCCCAAGTACACGGGGGATGTCAGAGAATACGCCATCTTTAAAGATGACTTCAAGCACATGGTCGATAAGAGGTATGGTAAGAGGGATGCCATCACACTGTTACGTACATGCCTACAAGGAAAGCCGTTGGAGCTGATTAAGGGAATTGGGTCCGACTACGATGCAGCCTGGGAGTATCTCGACTCCATATATGGTGATCCACGATTCATTACTGACACCGTCACCCAAGACATCATGAAGTTTAAGCCACTCCGAGACGGAGAAGACGCCAGATTCTGTGAGTTAGTTCATCTTGTGAGGAGGAGTTATAACACATTGAAGGAGGTGGGGCGACGGAACGACATGGATAATAATCATATGCTAGCAGTCATTGAGCAGAAAATGAACTCTGACGACCGGAAGGTGTGGTCCAGACACTTGGAAAGGGAAAAAGAAATGGCGACACTACAAGGACTGCTAGACTGGATGTCAGCAGAAATGAAATCGAGGATGAGGGCAACGGCATCAGTACGATGTGAAGCTCAAAGTCCCCGATCAAGCATCAATCACATTCAGCAGAAAGACCCAAAGTCAATGCCGCTCCGTGACAAGTGCTGGATTTGTCACGCTTCCAGCCACTGGACAGACCAGTGTGAGAAGTTCAAGGGGATGAGTCCAGAAAACCGATTTAAGATGGTTAAAGAGAACCATGTCTGCTTCAGCTGCCTCAAAAGGGCAGGAAAAGGCCATAATGTGTCTACATGTTCGAGAAGACGACAGTGCACGGAGATGATGAACGGAATCCAGTGTAAACACTTTCACCATCAGTTACTGCATCTTACTCCCCAGCAAGCCACCGGTTCAGTCAGCGTTGCAGTAAGTACAACCCGAGCAGAAGTATTACTACCAGTCCTACAAGTGCAGATCATGGGAACCCAGATTACTCAACCAGCAAATGTCCTGCTTGACTCCGGGGCACAGATATCATTGATCAGAAAGTCCCTCGCCGAAAACTTGAAGCTCAAGGGAAAGGATGTAAATACTACCATCACCAAAGTGGGAGGAGAAGAAGAAGAGCTTCAAACAAAAGTCTATGAGGTCCGTCTTCGTCCGAAGCACAAAGGTCCAACTTACACTATTACTGCCATTGGTATCCCCTGCATAAGCGACGATATTGCTGAAGTTGACCTATCACAGATGGCCAAACTCTTCAAACTGCATCCAAGCAGTCTTCATCGAGGTAGCGGCCCAGTCGATCTACTCATTGGCATTGATCATGCAAGCATACATGCTGGTGAAACCCATGAAGCCCAGAATCTGATTGCCCGCCAATCACCACTTGGTTGGGTGATTTTTGGAACCGGCCCTGGGGACCAAACCAAGACAAGCCGAGTTCTCCATGTGAAGTTCTCAGCACCAGTAGACATGACAGATTTCTGGAAAACTGAAGCTATGGGAGTAGCTGTAAAGTCCTGCACATGTGAGCCAGAAAAGCTCAGCCCAGCAGAATTAAAGGAAGCCAAAATAATAGAAGAATCCTGTACCAGAGATGGAAACCGATGGACCGTCCCTTACCCTTGGAAAAGGGATCCGAAACAGCTACCGGATAACAAGATCCAGATAGAGAAGAGGCTCTATTCAACAGAACGCCGACTTGCAAAAAACGCAACTCATGCAGAAGCCTATGATGCCCAGATGAAGGAAATGGTGGAAAAGAAGTTTGCCCGGAAGCTGTCTGAAGCTGAGCTGAAGTCATACAAAGGTCTTGTACACTATATCTCTCATCATGGAGTTCTGAGGCCAGAAAGTAAGAGCACACCTCTCCGAATCGTCTTCAATTCTTCTGCAACTTACCATGGGCAATGTCTGAATGACTACTGGTACAAGGGGCCTGACCTTCTAAACAACTTATTTGGAGTCATTATGAAGTTCCGTGAAAATGAAGTGGCAGTCATTGCAGACATCTCAAAGATGTACCACCAAATTCTGATTCCAGAGCGTGATCAGCATGTTCATCGCTTCTTGTGGAGAAACCTGAATGCTGACCGTACACCTGATGTTTACGTCAAGACAGTTCTGACGTTTGGGGATAAGCCAGCTCCCGCCATGGCACAGATCGCCCTGAAGAAAACAGCTGAGGCTGCCGAGAAACAATCTCCAGATGCAGCACAAGTCCTAAAAGAGAACACGTATATGGACGACATATGCGATTCCGTCCACACTGTAAATGAGGCCAAGAAGCTGACGAGTGAAATAGATGAGGTGTTAGCTGAAGGGGGATTCCGAGTAAAAGGCTGGCTATCTAACAAAGCTCTGGAAGAAAACTACAACAGTGACAAGGAAGATGAGAGAATGAAGTTTCTGGACACCACAACTGAAGAAAAAGTGCTGGGGACAGTATGGAACCGCAAAACTGACGAATTCCACTACAAGGTCAACTTGGACTTGGACAAGAATTTGTCCACCGATGACCGAGAAGTGATGCAGAGAAAGTTAACAAAGCGTCAAATCCTGAGCCAGATTGCACAGATCTTTGACCCGATTGGATTTGCTGCAGCCTTTCTAATCCGTTACAAGATTGGAATGCAGCAGCTATGGCAACAGGGTCTAGACTGGGACCAAGAAATACCCAAGGCAGATCATGACCGCTGGATTCAACTATTCAAAGAGATGAAAGGGTTGAACGAGATCAGTTTCAAAATATGTCTCACCCCGTCGAATGCTGTTGGTGTGCCCATGCTGTGTATCTTCTGCGATGCTTCAGAGGAAGCTTTCGGAGCCTGTGCCTATGTTCGATGGCAAATATATGATGGCAACTATGATGTCCGATTCGTTGCAGCCAAGTCTAGAGTAGCACCACTGAAGAGGCTCACCATCCCACGATTGGAACTGCAGGCAGCAGTTATGGGTACAAGGCTGTACCAGGCCATCATGGAAGAAATGCGCCTACCAGTGAAGGAGGCAGTGTTTATGACTGACAGTATGATTGCCCTATCTTGGATTCGAAGCCAAGCCAGAGGTTTCAAACCATTTGTATCCAACCGAGTGAGCGAGATTCAGAGCCAAACAGATCCGTCACAGTGGAGGCATGTTCCAGGAGAGCTGAATGTAGCAGATGATGTCTCTCGTGGAGTACCTGTGAAACAATTGACCCAGCGTTGGAAAAATGGTCCAGAATTCCTGCGCTTCCCAGAACAAAGTTGGCCACAAGAAGCAGAGAGGGTGAACCAGATAGAGGTAGATAAGGAACGACACAAGACCCAAGCTGTATTCATAACAACCGAAACTCAGGAAGTCATTGACGGCAAGAAGTATTCCAGCTGGAGAAAGCTAATCAGAGTCACAGCCTACGTTCATCGATTTGTCCAGAACATGCGAGCCAAGATGCAGTCTTGTGTAAACAAGGAGTCTAAACAGGGTCCACTCTCACCTCAGGAGCTGACAGAAGCTGCCAACTACTGGATTATCAAGGCACAGAAAAATCTACACAAACGCATGGCCAACGGAGAGTTCAAGTCATTGAGTCCCTTCACCGATGATGCAGGAATCTTGAGGGTTGGAGGCCGACTGCAGGAGTCTACGATGTTGTACACTACAAAGCACCCAGCACTGCTTCCCCATGATCATCACATTTCCATTCTGATTGTGCGGAATATACACCAACAGGGCCACACTGGTGTTGCCACCACTGTTGCGAAAACAAGACAAAGATACTGGATCCTGAAGGCACACAACCTAGCCAAGACGATCAAATACCGCTGTGTGGTTTGTAGAGAAGCAGAGCACAAACTTGAGACACAGATCATGGCTGATTTACCGAAGCAACGCCTGGCACCATACACGCCACCATTCTACTTCACGTCATGCGACTACTTTGGACCCTACCAAGTGAAGATTGGACGTAACAAGACAGCCAAACACTATGGAGTGATCTTTACTTGCCTGAACACCAGAGCAGTGCACCTAGAGCTGGCAGTAGACTGTTCCACTATGGAATACATTCAAGTGCTCCGCAGATTCTTTTCTATTAGAGGCTATCCAGCTAAGATGATTAGTGACAACGGAACCCAACTGGTCGGAGCACAACGGGAACTTCAAAAGATGATTCAAGGTTGGAACATCGAAGAGCTGAAACAGTTCGGGGCAGAGAAAGGCATGGAATGGAAGTTCATCACACCAAGAGCACCACATCAAAATGGGTGTGCAGAGGCATTAGTCAAGAGCTGCAAGACCGCGCTGAAAAGGGCTGTTGGGGCTCAGGTGCTGACTCCATTTGAGCTTTACACAGTTTTACTAGAAGTTGCGAACCTCGTAAACCAACGCCCGATTGGAAGGATCCCAAATGACCCAGATGATGGTTCCTACCTGAGTCCGAATGATATACTACTTGGAAGGGCATCGGCTGATGTTCCTCAGGGGCCATTCCAGGAGACCCAAAATCCTAGGCACCGCGTGGAGTTTGTGCAGAAGATCATTGACTCTTTCTGGAAGCGCTGGAGCCGAGATGTTCTACCCTGCCTGGTACCACGCAAGAAATGGAGAGCTGAAAGGCGTAACGTACGGGTTGGTGATGTGGTAACTGTGTCAGATACCAATGCAGTCCGGGGCAAGTGGTGTGTCGGTAGGGTTCTCGAGGTCTTCCCTGGATTGGATGGCATGGTGAGGAACGTGAAGGTGAAGACTGAGAGCGGAGAGTACCAGAGGCCTATCACAAAGATAGCAGTGATCTACCCGGCAGAAGGTTATGATGAGGACTAGTCGCTCATCGGGGCGAGGATGTTCCACTGAGCCAGTGACCTGTGAGATTGTGACTGTAGCTTGAAGAGCGCCCTCTATTGACTGTAGTTTATTGTTTACATGTGGTTTTGTCAGCCATGTTTCAGCATGTTTTACTGTAGCAGTTTTTAGCCGAAAAGTTTGTAGTCAAACCAGCAGTTAATCAGTTTCTACTTCAGAGATTATGGACACCTGGTTATCCTAGAGTCTTGCCAAAGAAGTGAGTAGTTTTTCAGTTGTTTTTTATGATGATATAAGCCCTTATAAAAGCAGACATATTTCACCAGTTTTCATGTGGAACTTAAGGTACATGTACATGTACATGTACATGCAACTTGTTTACAAATTACATGCAGATGAAGTACATGAACGTATAAGAAGTTTCCCAGCTTTTGCCAGTTTCAGACCAGATAAGAGAAATTAGGGATTGTTTATTAATGAAGGATGTTACTGAGAACTAAGGAAAGTTTGATATGTTTCCCAAGTATTTTCTGGATTATTATGAAGGTTAAAGGAGAGTTTTAAGAACCACTTTCTTACTGATAAGTTAGCACCCTTGATTTAGGATGACATGTATTAAGGATCTCTTTTTTTGTTTGTTTATTTACAGTTCGAATTACATTAAAATACGAAAGCAAGATTTCTAGTCCGTGTCACACCTGTATGCCTTACTCCTCGATGAGCCAGTTGGGTTGCTTGAGATAAGATGCCAGTGTCTGGAGAGAGCACGCTTGATGTCCATGTGTTTTACATGGGGGTTGTTAGTCGTGGTGAAGACGAGGGGAAGTTCTTTTTGGGTTTTCACTTGTTCTGTGTGAATCATATATTTCCTTTGTGAGAAATCGATGGATTGCTTGCACTTGTGAATATCGGCTTGATTGTAGCCTCTCTTCAGTAGTTTTTCTTCGAAACTTTGTACTTTGTGTAAGAAGTCGTCCTCATTGTTTGTGTTTCTGGCATATCGTAGGATTTCTCCTTTGATAAAACCTTGGAACACATGGTTTGGATGGGATGATGTTCTTTCCAAGTACTGATATGTTTCCGTAGGTTTCGTGAACACTCGTGTGTCTAGGGTACCCGTGGAGAGGAAACGCGGGCCTTTAAAGATGGTAAGGTCCAGGTATGTGATGGAAGTTTCAGATGCCTCAAATGTGAATTTGAGGGTGGGATGCAATTGATTCAACTGGTGAACAAATTGGGTGAAGGATTCGAGTTGGCCGTTGTAGACGATAAGTATTTCATCTCTAAATCTTGCCCAGAACAGGATTCTGTCTGTGAGGGCTGAGATTTGTAACTCAAAATCATGTAGCGTAATGTCGCAAATTTCTGGACTAGCCACAGATCCCATTGCACATCCTATTTTTTGTCGGAAGAATTTTCCTCCGAACTGGAAATAGTTGCGGCCCAGAACGAGTTCCAGGAGAGTGCGGATGTGTTTTGAAGGGGGTTTGGTTATGGTATAGTTGTGGTTGGTTTTTTCGTAGGCTTTGCATACTGATTCAATGGCTTCTGCCTGGTGAATGTTGGTATACATGGAAACTACATCGATGCTTGCAAGGAGTGAGTTTTGTGGGAAGGTTTCCTTTTCTAATTTCCGCAAAATGTCTGTGGTGTCACGGACATAAGTGGGTTGGGCGGATACTATTGGAAGGAGAAAGTAATCCACATACTCAGATATCTTGGCTGTTGGACTCGTGCACCCGCTGATGATGGGTCTACCGACAAAAGGCTCACCCGGTGGGGGAGTCTTGTGTATTTTCGGAAGAAAATACATGGTAGGGCAGTTCGTGGGTTGTTCAAGTGGGTCAAGATAGGCAAAGGTATGTTTGTCGATGTGTTTGTTTCTTATCATGTCGGTGAGGACGCTGTGTACCTTGAGTTCACAGGGGTTGCGCGCACGTGGCCTTGTAAAAAACGAACGATGTGCACGGACAATCACGCTGCGCTATATCGGCTCTGTTATATGCAACAAAACAAACTCATGTGTCATCACTCCCAAACGGTAATCAGCCGCCGTCAAAATTCCCGGTACTATCCCCGAAACTAAGCCAAAACATGCGAGGCGACTTGTCTCAACGGTCGACTTGTCTTTTCCATTTATCGCACATACGGTCGAGTTGTCCCGAGTCGAGTTGTCTCAACGGTCGACTTGTCTGACCCCCCAATTGACTCTGCATTGGTACCGCACATTATTTTGAGGGGCGAAATATATTCCTGATTTTAATTATTTCTTTTCCTAGCATAGCAAAATCGGATTAAGTGAAACTGACAAATGCCAGATAACTTTCTCTATAAAGTACATCCAAAGGAGTAGCCTGTGGTTTAGCCCGACTGCGTCTGGCCGTACAGTACTATCGCAAGCTCTGTAGTACGGCCAGACGCTGAATGCTTCCAAAAAGACTGAATTTTTTTGGCCGCTGATGTAGCGATTTTGCTACATCTTTTGATCGAGATTATCTTTTCATCCAGGACAAAAATGTCCACAGTTAAGGTTCTTAGTCGTAGAGCAACTCATACCTTTTCGAAAAAACGTTCTTTGGTCTCAATATTTTCATCCATCTGGCCAAAAGACGACTTTCAGTCATCATCTTCCACAAATATCGTCCCGAAAATGCTCCCCCATGCGATTTCAAAATGGCGGCCGCGCTGTAACTCATGAATATGCATAAACAGTCTGTGACGTATGACCTCGTGTTTTTGGACGTGCGTGCGGCGGCGCCGTACATGTACGTACATGTACATTACTTGTAGTAATGCGGCGGTGTGCATGCACGTCCAAAAAAATTCAGTCTTTTTGGAAGCATTCAGCGTCTGGCCGTACTACAGAGCTTGCGATAGTACTGTACGGCCAGACGCAGTCGGGCTACCTGTGGTTATGCAAAATATTGGAGGCTCTCTGCACCGTGTTAAAAAGTTAGGGCCTATAGTTGAAAAGTTTAGGAACCTATAATTTAACTAAGTTCGGCTTGTCCGATGACTTCGAAGAGGTTGCCACCAACTCGTCATCGCTTTCTTCTGATGTGGATAAGGAGGAATGGTCATCAGAGAATATTTCTGAACCGCTATCCGCGAAAATTTCGTCGAGAATTTCAGAAGCGTCGGCCATGTCTGGTTTTCTGTTTTTTTCCCCGTCCAATCAGAGGCCGATGTCAAAAGTGAGGGCGCTGTTTACATTTCAGTTGCACGCGTTATTGCCGTGTGCCATTTGGAGCTTTTGGGAACAAGAGAGTATTGAATTCGTGGGAAGAGACTACATGCCACTTTGAGCACGGGTGGCACTCATGGGGCTGATATGATAGGAATATAGGTATATAAATCACCGGTGCATGGCAACAAATTCGTGGACTGGTTGGAAGTAAACGTTCCTTCTAACACTTGATCAGAATTCGAGTTTGAGTTCCAATTAATGAGGCCGCCTTGTTTGGTGTAAATCATGGCACCTTGCAAATTTCTCATTTTTAACTATTATATAAAGCTAGGTAGGAAACCTTTCACACATAAAAAAATATCCTTCACACAATAATAGAATTACCAGCAAATACGAAAGCACAAAATAAGTGATAAGCGATTTAATTTAAAAAAAAACCTGACTCGTTAGCCGCGGATTCCACCAGTCTCCAACTGGTTAGGATTGGAATTTTGGCGGCAAATTTACAAGGTACTCTCTGCAAAGTGCTCGCTCGGGCGTGGAAGAGTAAACGCATATTTCCTATGTAAGTAAGAAAACAAAAGGATGCTTCATAAACACGTGATGATTTGAAAGAAAACTCCAGTTGCGGATCTGGGGGGGGGGGGGGGGGATTGCAATCCTCCGTTCAGCCACTGGCTAATGATACTATAGTAAAATGGGGCCAAAATAATCAATGAAATGCTAAACCTAGAAAGTTTGACTCAAAATTACGAGAATTCAGCAGAGAGCGTCGTAGTTTACATTTTCCGGGAGGGGGGGGGGGGGGGTGGGGGGAATGCCACCGGCACCTCTAGCAGGGCTTGCCTTCGGCACGTCTTTACTCAAATATCACCCCCCCCCTTCCTGAAAGCTAGATCCGCCCTTGGACACCTCTTTATTTCGGGTTTGGCCACACCCATAGACAATTCATGAACAGTTAAGGACGAGAAGAAAAATGTTTACCAAAAAATGTTTTAATTATTTTTTAAATCCATCATCAAGCATAGGGTTCGTCATACCTGGATTTCCTATACATTGTGTAGGATATCCCTGCAACTACTACGATAAGCAGCAGCAAGCATGAACCACCGATTATCAGTCCCAGCTTCCAAGATTCTAAGCCTGAAATAAAAACAAACAGAGATAGACCGGCACATTAAGCTGGGAATTTCAGTTAACTGTAAATCAGTGCTGATGGATTAGACCACATGAATTTCGAAAACAGTCCTCAAAAATGGATTATTTTAACAGCTTTTTCCCCAACTCTCTAAATCGCAAAGAGTGAAACTAGGGACTAAACGAAATAGCAATTAGCCATGTCACCGTGCGCTTTAGGCGAAACTTCAATGAAAACTCGATCTTTTCGATGAATTAAATTTAAATTTAAATCGTCTTGTTCCTTGTTCCAGTCAAGTGAATTTTCACTCTTAATAAGAAGTAAGGAGAAATGATTAAGACAATCGCATTGAAAGTCTGTAAAGGGTTTGTTTATGATGTAAATCGAGGACACACATTGTGAAACATCCTTGTGTAATTGAGGACAGGAGTCAAATCGAGGATGTGCTCCATTTAATAATAAACGTGTACAAAAGCAATGGGAGCTGTTGCAAAAAAGTTTAATTATGAACAAAAGATTGATGATGAGGAACAAAAGGAAATCCTCGATTTACACCATAAACAAAATGGGAGTGCGTGTGCGTAAAATGTGATCTTGTTATCCATTCACGACTGAGGACGTGGGACAATGGGGGATTTGCGATAATAAAAACCCCGAGGACCTGAGCCACGTTAGGAACACAATAAGGGAACTTAGTAGGTCCTCAGGAAAACACGACTACGTGTGCGTGAATGAGTTGTTCACCAGCGTTCGACCGCCCGGGCGTTTGCCCGGCGAAGCCGCTTCGTATATAAGGAAGAACAATCATGAAGTGCACTTTTTCTGTTAAGTTTAAGGTTAATTAAGGTTAATTTCAAGCTATGGATGGAAGCTTTTTTTATGACGGCCTTTTTTCCATGAAAGCTTTGGCCAAACAGAGATTTTAGTCAAACCTGTCAGGCCGCCATGCCATTGCTCCGATGCAAGGACGCTGGCACTTCCCAGCTCCATGTGCCGTTCTCTTGGCACAGAGTTCACTTTCCCCTTGCAAGGTGTATTCATCATCGCAAGTGAAGCTGGCTACTCCGCCCCATTTTGTAGTATAATGGAACATTAGAAGTTAAAATGTACACCGCATGTTAATAGTTATTATTTTGACGATCAAATAAAACCATATCGCACAACTTTTCTGATTAAATAAGTGACCTAATGGAAACTACTTTTCATATTCTATTTTGAATATACACTAAAAGGGTTATTATCGAAACATTAATGGTAAAATACGACGACCAGAAAAATGTCCAACTTCAAACGCGAATTACTCAAAACAGGGTTTTCGCTTATTCGTCGGTATGTCAGCTCTGTGACGTTGTATGGTGTGGATATTCCTTTGAGTTAAGAAAAACCAGAGAAAAAGTCATTTTACTCGCACCGTGAACACTCTTTTAACCCGAATTTTGATCATGATTTCCTTGAGTGTACCTCTCCGTTTTGCAACGAATAATCCTCACCCATAATTTCCTCTAAAACTGTTTGTCAGAGAGGCGGAACCGCGTGATGTGGACCTGTGCAAGCCTACACAACGTCCTCACTATCCGTACCTGCACTATGTGGACATCTTTTGTTTTGTTCACAGGTCCACACAGTGACTTCAATGCTAGTTCGTGTTCGTGTGCGTTCGAGAGTAATTGTTCGCGAGGGTTCGACCACAAAGTGGGCGTTCACCCGGCGCAGCCGCCTCCCCAGCGAAGCAGGCAAGGCGAAGCCTCTTAGATATGTAAAAAGAACAATATGGAGTGCGCTTTTTATGATTTAGCTTTGTATTAGCTATGGATGAACGTTTCAGCCAGGCATACATTTTTTCCTCAAACCTGTCAGGCCGCCATTGCTCCGAGGCAAGCACGATGGGACTTCCCTGCTCCATGTGCCGTTATCTTGGCATACGATTTCACTGTCCCCCTGCAAGCCTTGCGAGTTATGCAAGGTGTATCCATCATCACATGTGAAGCTGGCTACTCCGCCCACACTGTTACTTGATGCCTCCATATGGCCGTTGGCTGGTTCCATAAGAGCGTCACAGGTCACTGGGTACACGGTGAGAAAGTCAAAATAATGAGTGTGAAACTTTTAATGGAAATTCATTGCAATTTTGAGTCACTGGTAGTATAATGGAACATTAGAAGTTAAAATGTACACCAGATGTTAATAGTCATTATTTTGACCATTTTGTCATACTGCAGTATCTTGGGAATTTGTTTTCGAACCTGGAACACAGGTGGGTACTTCCCAGCTCCATGTGCCGTTCTCTTGGCACACGAGTTCACTGTTGCCTCGCAAGGTGTACCCATCATCGCAGGTGAACCTGGCTACTCCGCCCACATTGTTACTTGATACCCGCTTCTGGCCGTTGGCTGGTTCCATAAGAGCGTCACAGGTCACTGGGTACACGGTGAGAAAGTCAAGATTATCAGTGTGAAACCTTTAATGGAAATTCATTAACAATTTCGAGTCACTGGTAGTATAATGGAACATTAGAAGTTAAAATGTACACCAGATGTTAATAGTAACTTTTGACCATTTGTCATAATGCAGTGTGTGGGGAATTTGATTTCGAACCTGGAACACAGGTGGGGACTTCCCAGCTCCATGTGCCATTCTCTTGGCACACGAGTTCACTGTTGCCTCGCAAGGTGTACCCATCATCGCAGGTAAACCTGGCTACTCCACCCACATTGTTACTTGATACCTCCACCTGGCCGTTGGCTGGTTCCATAAGACCGTCACAGGTCACTGGGTACACGGTGAGAAAGTCAAGATAATCATTGTGAAACTTTTAATGGAAATTCATTAACAATTTCGAGTCACTGGTAGTATAATGGAACATTAGAAGTTGAAATGTACACCAGATGTTAATAGTAACTTTTGACCATTTGTCATAATGCAGTGTGTGTGGAATTTGTTTGCGAACCTGGAGCACAAATGGGAACTTCCCCGCTCCATGTTCCGTTCTCTTGGCACACGAGTTCACTTTCCCTTTGCAAGATGTATCCATCATCGCAGGTGAAGCTGGCTACTCCGCCCACGCTGCCACGAGACACTTCCTTCTGGCCGTTGGTAGGTACACGAAGGGCGCCACATATAACTGTAAAAACGAGAACATTATTAGAGCATATAGTGATAGCTTGGTTTGCAAATAAAATAAAGTCAACATGCTTTCAGAAGCGGCAACATGTGGTTCGGCAGGCCAGAGCGGCATGGCGGCAGCTGTTGTAAATGGGATGCCAGAGAGATGTCGTTGCTTCGTGGGCCGGCCAAAGATGCGCTGGGTATAGACAACATCCGAGAATGGTCAGGGTGTGACACCATCGAACCTAAAGCAGCAGCATTGGAAAAGACGGGCTGTGGTGGGAGCGGAGCCAGTGATCCCAAATGTGTATAATTTGAGGAGACCACGGGCAAATGCCTATATGTCTATTGAATGAATGAACATGGACGAATGGTATTCGCTTCGTAACAAGCAAGATACAGCTGGAAATTAGGACTGCCAAGTGCAAGTTCTACAGGCACACTGTTTAACATATGAAGTGTAGCCAGCCTGGTAAATGGCATAGACAAATTCAAAAATTTGCCAGTACAAATCCAAACCTTCCATGAATCCTGTTCAAATTTCCAGTAAACAATCTTGTGGTTTTTGCCCTTTGTGCGAATGGGGGGGGGGGGATATTCTGCGTTTGCTTTTGGCTGTTGTCCGTTTTTATAACTTGTGATATTGTTTGTTTGTTGGAGTGTTCGTCTGTTTGTTGTTTGTTGTTTAGTATTTTATTAAAGTTTCTTTTAAAATGCAATTGTCATTTTACCGGAATGTAATGTAACATTTGATGTGTGAAATTGTATGCCTTGTTTTTAGTTTTATGCCTTGCTTCTTGTTTTTTTATGTTTTTTGTTTACATTGTAAAATTGATAATGTCATTATATAAGCTGTTTGTATGCAATATTTTTTTGTTAAAAATAAACCAGAATATTATTAAATTACTATTTAGCCGGGAACCTTTTATACAAAAAAAGAAGAAAAACAAATATGTTGCGTTGAGAGTGTCTAAAATATGACAAAACAAGAGGTTCTTTGACAAAGTGCTTCTCATAAATGTTCCACTCATTGAGAAGCTGCTTACAGTTTTGCATTGACATTAGCGTTTAAGTTAGTATTATGAAGGATTTAGAGTTCTATAGAGCATACCTAGTGCTGCACTTTTGACGGCAGTTTTGTAGCTATCCACCGCTTCCTTGGTGGCCCTAGCGATGTCTTCGTTTCCAGTCACGACAAAGTTAAAGGCGCATACAGTGTCATTGCCGCAAATCCGTAGAGCGCTTTCGTCAATTATGACGTCACTCGGTGACCAGAAAAGTGGAACAAATGTCACATCGGTGTAATCTGAAGGACCCTTGCCTCTGGGATATCTGAACAGGGAATCCTCTGGCTTGATTTGCCCTGAAATGAAAATTACCGCACATAATCACTATATACCTCTTACATATTCATGAGCGAGCGCCGAAGTTTTACTGGTCCATTCCACATCACGTGTCAGCCGCTATAGGTTTTGCCGTTCATTAAGCGCCGGCGCACGGTACGCGAGGATTACGTACCCGGTAAATACGCACGCGAAATCGACTATCGCATTGGTTACCGGTGCGATAGTACACAAATAAAACATGTTTTTTTAATACATATTTGTTTTACTATGCCTCATACATCGTAGGGTGTCCCGCAGAAGGGCATATGAGCGTTCCGACACGAAAATCCCTTTTCAAGAAAATTGCATTGAAAATTCCAATGTTCCCCCACGCCAAATATGAATCCAATGTTCTCCCATGGGCATTTTAAATCGTACGAATTTTTAATTTGTCACACGTATGAATCATAATTCCAGAACAACTTGTATTAATTTCCGATGAAAATGTTCAAATTTCATTAAAACAGAGGCAGTTTTCTGCATGTGCCCTTTTGCTGGAAAGACATTGGTTATTACATACACGTTCGCGCGCAAGGGCGTACGCGCATAAGCCCTTCTGCCAGGCACAAGATCACGACAACATCTTAAAAAAAAAAATCATGCAGTTACCCACAAATTTCTCGGCAAAATGATGTTGAGCGTGTGGCCCAGGTTTTTCATGTAGCTGCTCAGCATGCTGTAGGGCGTGCGCACTACCCCCGTGCGCATGCGTAAGGGACTAGCGCACAGGTTGGTTACAACGATAGTCTACTAGCATGCGTATTTAACCTGTGCATGACTGAATCTCGGGTGTGCGCTCGGTTAAAAAATGGCGGCACACGTACAGCTTTGCTGAGGTATAGAACTGATGCGTAACTCGACGACATTTTGGTGAAGTATGAGTTATAGTACATGTAAAAAAAAATTATAACATGGCTTAATTCGGGTGGATATTTGATATTGCTTCCCCTTGTTATCAGAAATTGACAACCATTTTATGCATCGAAAATGGTATAAAAAATAAAACCCAACGTTACCTCCATCTTACAGACAATCGCCGTGTACTCAAATACACCAGTAGTTGCGTTTGATGCGTCCGTGCACAGGATATACTCTTCGTCATGCCTCTTGGCTTTAATTTATGTAATTAGCATAACTTACATTTTGGACCAAATTCTTGGTGTACGTCTTGCATGGTGGCATTAGCAGGAAGGATGGTTCCATCTGGTCTTTCGAAGTCGTCATTTTTCTCTCCATTCCAGTTACCATACAACCCTCTGGTGCGCCCTTTCAGTTCCTTCTGCAGTGAAGTGAACACGTTGAGCAACCCGGACGTAGTTGAAACGACTAACGACACTCCACATTTGAAATTCACATGGATGTTCTTGGTCATCACGCCCGAGTTGTTTACATCCCGGTAGAAGACCGCCACACCTATAACAAAGAAAACCCAATCACAAGTTTTGCCTTCTTGAGTCAGCACTTTGGAATGCGGATTGAGTACGCTCTAGCGTCGTAGTGGCGCATTGCCACAAAACGTAGTGTGTAGCTAAATATCTTAACACGCACAGACGAAACAACATCATCGGTTTATAGAAAAGAAATCTCAAAGCTCTCCCGGCATAATTATAAAAATGTTCGTTTACCTGCCTCTCATGGCATTGACTCAAAAACAAAACAAAATAATGACATACAGTATTGTCATTATTTGAGAGGAACAAGCTTATACTCTACGATATGCAGCCAGTTAATCTCTATTTTCTACGTTTCTGTGACAATAAGTTGTCACCTGCCACAAACTTAAACACTCCTGAAACTTTCGTGAAACTTTGTTTTTAATATCTAAATTTTTGGAAATGATGTAGATCGATTAGACAGTCACTCACCTTCTAACTCGACCCGTCTGATCTGTGTGCCTTCAAATTCTATCATTGTCCACTCACTGTCGTTCCCTTGTCGAAACCACACATCAATGCCCCGTCGCTCACTGACTTCAACATGAATCTGGTCCGATTTGTCCCGGTGAAGGCCCGCCAGTGCTGTTATCTTGGTGGCTCTATCACCTGAAGAAGCATAGTTGGAGTATACAATTGCATTATAATGATGTATTATAATGATGTACCGCACCTACTCGGTGGATATTGTGCGCCCAATTATTGTCATATTGTTTTGGTTTTTATTTTGTTACTAGACAAGTTTGACTCGCAAACGTCTTCAAGTCCAACTATTACAACCATTACACGTGTAATTAATTAAATTGAATTTTCAATGTTTTGATCAAAAGGAAATTTTGTTAGGCCCATAAAGGGTAGAAACTGTTGCACTCTGACCAAGTTGAATTCATGTATACGTACTACGACGACAAAGACTGGGGAAGAAGCTGCGAGTCACAGAGCAACGAAAATGATTTCGATTGGTGTCACAAGAGGACAGCACAGCACAGGACAACAGTAAGAACAGCGCAGGACTGGACAATGGAAAGTTTGATGAAGAGATCTTACTTCAGCGGTGGAGTGAAATGAACTAGGATAATGGACAGACTATATACGGAAAGCAATCTTCAAAAACAAGAATACCATTGCACTGGTGTTCTGTATTCAACTGCTTTCCGTCCCATGGAATTTTTAATGTCGGGATGTAATCATCATAGAATAACAAGTTCCAAAATTATAATTGTACCCTCCACTGCATGCGTTAATTATTAACACACTTGCATAATATTTGTAATCAGCGACGGGGCTTACCTTGCTGTAAGACGGCCATTCTCGCTTGAAGCTCCAGCAGTCCACCACACGTCTCTAGCAAGGTGTACACACCCACACCATTGAACGCGTACTCTGTCCCATCCAGGGTGAAGAGGTGGGTATCTCCAGTACCAATGGCTGTAACAGTGAGAGTATAAGACTGGTTATCTTGGAGTACACAATTAAGAGGGCTTGAGTTGTATAAGCCAAGATTGGCGGGTTCACCTCGGTATGGGGTTATTTGACTTTCCTGTTCTGGATTTTGTATACCAAGTCATATTCTTGCGGGGTTGAAAATGAAGGGGCCACTCCGTGACCGATTTGTACATCGGTTTTTTTGTTGCAAAAATGTCAAATAGATAAAACACTCATGTTTGTTTCATTAGAAGCAAATTTTATAAGTCGCTTACCAGGCTGAGGTGGCTGGTAGTCTTCGCAGGTTTGGGAAGGACGCACACGTTTGTACACTTGACAAAACAACTGTGAGTATATACAGCAGTGCTCCATCGGTAGAATATCCCAAAACCAGTGGGAGAGGTAGGGAACACGACCGGCGACCTCAGGCGAGAAAGACAGGAAAATAATGTATAGCAATGGTAGGCCCACTGTACTGAAGTATAGCTATTCTCGTGAAAAGGGTCAACAGGAAAGAAAATGTGAATTCATTGTGTTGACTTGCAATTGTAATTATAGAGTCAATATCTTACCTTATATGGTGCAACACCCCCATGATGTCTTCGCTGTGCAAAACCACTGCCGGCAGACCTGGCTACGTCAAGAATATTGTCATCGCTGCCATAGCAACACTCTTGTCCACCTCCAAATTCACTGGGAAAAGTATCATCGACGACAGCTAAGATATATTGCTGTATTTTAAAATTTGGTGTATCAATCCTACATCTAATTATGAGTTCCGTGTAGTTTCTTTAAACTTAATAGTGTTAGATCAGCCTTCAATAACGAGTACAGGTGCTCATTTTGTCAAACTGTTAGAGCAAGAATGACGTAAATTCTCAAGAGTATGGGCATTTTGTTGACGTCACGATTACAGCGATAGCTACCAACTACTAAAAGAAGTAATACGAGTTCCTCCATTAAACATTTCTCGGAATAATTTAAGACGAAGCAGTCTCGTTCAATGACAACAATGTACACTCTATTAGTCCACGGAGTTATCTCTGTGAAACACTCGGCCGGCCTGCACAGCGCCAATGACGTCGAAGTCTCTGAAGTCTTTTTCAATCTTTTAACGGCAGTGGTCCTCGTGATTATACGCGAGTTGCTCGTTAAAAGTTGTTAGGGTGCTAAGTAGTATTTCTAGACGTCAGCATATAGAATAAATGCACTAACCTGACTGTATCGGCTCTTACGCAGTACACGGCACCAGGCTTGGACATCTCACAGCTTTCTGGAGAATAGCAGAGCGGGTGCTCACTGAACCGACCAACATCTACCAGAGCCTGGGTCAGCGTGCAGGGGCACGGCTCAGTCACTTCAAGGAAGTCCAAGTCCGATCTAGCCTCCTCCGCCCAACCATCGCACCATGCTGAAGGGTCAGGGACTGGATAGAGCCAGTGGAGGTTGTGGATATCACTCCACATCCCTGGTAGAGTCCTGGAAAAAGAATCATTGATAACTCAATTTTAAAAGTTAATTTTTTGTTCTGCTGATTGACAAGACAATTTTGACCCCAATTTTATAATGCCTTAATAAAGCCGAATGAACAGGTTATGGGAAAGTTATTTGAATGGATCTGCTCATGCCTTCAAAATAAGGGATTAAGTATATATAAGGTTTTACCAGGAGACAGAAGTCGGCCACACATATCTCTACCCGTAAGCCTACCTGTGACCATCGTTTTTCAAACAGCCGATATAAATTAAGCCCACCGCACACGAGAGCTATCTGCTGAACAAAAAGTCATTCGTGGTCGTTTGCTCAGCACGTAGCTCATCGTGTGCGTTCAATTTTCAGGGAATTCGTAAATATCTGTCCAGTTTGATTTTTCTCGCCTCGCAAGGCATCCTGAGCTACGTGCTGAGCAAACGGCCACCAATGACTTTTTTGCTCAGCAGAAAGCTCTCATGTGCGGGGCCGGGGGGGGGGGGGGGGCAGGCGTGGTTCTAGAGCCAATATTTTTTTTTTGGGGGGGGCTAGCAGGGTGGATCCAGATTTTTTTTCAGGGAGGCGTGTGGAAATATAGACCGGTTATTTTCTCCGGACACTTATAATTAGGCCTCCTAAAATCAATAGGTGAGGGGGGGGGGGGGGGGGCTCGTGCCATATTTTCAATGGGGAGCGCTGATAAAATTCTACAATCAGGCACACTATATTAACTTATTTTTTGGGGGGGCTATAGACAAATGTATTTGGGGGCTAAAGCCCCCCCCACAAACGCCGGGGGGGGGGGGGGGGGGCGGGGGGGGGGGGCTTAACTACCCAGAACTTACTGTTCCGCTTCATCTTGCCCTTGTACATATTGAGATACACGGATAGCTCCCACCGTGTACTGGGCGCCACTCGGTGCACGAGGCCGGATGAAACTGAACCGACCCGCGCTATACGGCACTGTTTGTTCTTCGTTGATACCATACAGGCTGTACACAAATGGCAGCTTCGCCTCTCCTGTGGCCAAATCCTCCTCGTAACCATAGACAGAGATACTAACATTTGTCACGTAGTCTCTTAATAGCTCAGTATCCCACGTGATCGTCAGCTCTTTCTCGTTCATCCAATCGGTTGCCTCCAATCGTTTGACACTTGGAGTGATATCCTCCGGACTCACTATGCAAGACGTAAAAAACAAAATTGTTGCAAAGTTATCATCATCATGATGATATTAAAGCATTTCATATTCATCTAAAATGCTACCGTTGTACTTACGGTAGGTGAATATTCCGGTGAAATTGAAAGAATTGCCACCATTAGTCGACATTCTCAGTGGCAGACGACCGACTTCAAATACTAGTGGGCTGACGCATCTGGCTGTGGTGTTAGAAACCACCTGTCCGGGTACTTCAACGTCAGCGAATCGGCACACGATTGTGGAGGATTCGTCGAGACACGGTCCAGAAATGAGGACAATGTCTCCACCGAGCATTGAGCCAGAAATGGGGAAGACAGCTAGCGATCCTGATAAAAAAATGAGGGGAAAAAGCCATATTTGAATTCATAATCCTTAAAATATTGCTGTAGTCCTCCTTTGCGCTACAGTACTGTACTGCGAATCAATCGATGATTTTGTAATTTGGAATTGTTAATTCTTTGTATTTCAAGCAGAATAGTTCAGCCAATACAAACAAGTGATTGTCGTTGAAAAAGTACCACACCTTCAGAATTGCAACCGGAGTCGACGATTTCGCTGCTGTCAATCCGAAATAGAAAGCGCCCCCTAGTGCCGATATTCGAATCTTGATCGATATCAACGATAGCGTCCGTCCTTGATTCAGGGACACCGAAGAATGTGAAGCCATCGCCAGCATTAAACCCAACCTAAAATAATATAAATAAATACAAACAGATAAACAGCAACGGCTCTTAATTACTTTAAAATGCAATAATAATGAGCCCCAATTTTTTGATAACTGAAATTTGAAAGATTTCACCACTAGATCTTGTAATTCAATTTTGTTTAAGTTTATCACTTAGAAGCTGTAAACTTTGAAAGTAATATTTTGGTTAAAGTCGCAAGTAAATGAACCAAGACTTGCAATAACTTTCATTCGGTGAAAAGGAACTCAGTAGTCTTCAGTGGCGGATCCAGAGAGGTTCGTGCCGGGGGGCGCAACGGCTTATTCGAGTGAAAAATGGCCTTATTTTACAAAATTTTGGTCACTGCCGGGGGGCGCACGCCCCCATATACACCCCCTGGATCCGCCAATGGTCTTACTTGAGCAGGTGTACCGCCCAGTCCGTTTGAGCTGTCTCCACCGCTTGCTGTGCCGGTCGTCCAGCGAATGTCTTCATAGTTGTAAATTGCAAAGGAATGTCTCCCATTGGTCACTAACAGAGCCTGAAATGTGTTTGTCTAAGGAAACAAAACCAAATGTTAGCCTATATCAGGTTTTCTTTCATCTTCGAATTTCCGTATTTTGTTCCCTTAGTTAACCCTTAGTTAATAAAGGCCAAGAGAGCACTATAGTCAACGCGAAGAGTTCAAGGTGAATAAAAATAATCTCCAAGCTTCCTTATTAAACGGGAATTATGTGGGCCAAAACGACACCGAGAAAGCTGTGTGGAGGATTTAACAAGAAGGTCGACGGCATTATGCATCCACTGAAGAATCAACAATTATGATAAATAAAACATCGGCGGAGTTAGGAACTAGATTACAACAGCAAGGGTACAGTAACTAAACAAATGAACGGAAAAAATATTGCAACCTGACGCCAATTCTTTCTTCATTTAATATCATCTCAATGAAGGTCAGTCATTGCAAAAATGATGATAAGACATGAATCTGGGACTGAGAAATATTCCAATTTTGTTAGGAAATACTTAGAAAATTGTCTTGACTCTCCTTAGACTTTGTACACAAAGTGGCGTCAGGTTGCAACATTTTTTCTAAATGAACTAAAAATACTTCAACACCTAAGCACCACAGTTAAAGACAATTTTATTTTTCTAGTAAATTATGCTTCAGACAAAAATTAAAAAAAAGAAGTATAACTAAGGGCATGACATCCAACCAAGGTAATGAAAAGTTTGAGACACAATCAGGATTTTGCAAAAGCTGTAAAGCCTGTATTACCAAGCCTGACATCATATTGTCTGATTTGGTTGAAAACAATTTTAAAAACTTCTTCTTATGTCACTTTTTTGCTCCTTTCAACGGACTCCAAACAATGACGTAAATGAAAAAAAGAAAGTCAAAGCGGGAGGCCAGATTATGCACCGTACACTGTTTTTGTTTTGTCCAACGAATCCAGTTCTGTCCTTTTCCTCTCGCACGTGACTCTGGTGCCTAAAATACTTGCTTACTATTTGAAGGGCTTCTCCACTGGCTCCAAAAAAAGGCACTTCATCCCATGTCGCGATGAACATCCAGGATGATGAAAACTTCGACTGGTCGATAAAAGCCTGTCTGATGATACCATCTGCCTGGCCAAATAGCTCTTCATTGCTTGGAGTACGGTGGAGTTTACGGTAAGACACGCTGCCTCCATGGCTAATATCCACGTCAGCCCAGAATACCGCCACCAGTCGTCGGTCACCATCAAGTGGAAATGGTGTCAGGGTATACTGGGAGACTGGGATGAGGAAGGATACGACACCATTTGTGTTTACCTGGAGTTCAAACCAAACAAAATAACGTTCAAAGTTATTATTTCAAACGTTAGTTACGGGTTGCTTTCCACAGACACACATAAAATGTAATGCCACGAGGCAGCAAAGAGCAGTCAATCAATGAATGTATATACTTGCAAGTGGAGATAGAATTCGGGCAAAATTTTCAAACGAACTCCAACTATAAAGCAGTCCAGTGAAAAGAAAAGAAAAGCTCCTCTTTCTAATGCTGATTGGTATTATTGCTTGACTGTTAAACTAGATCTACTGTTGTAAAAACAGGTAGCTGCTTCGGCTATAAGGGCTATTGTACTAAAGGAATAAGACAATTATAAAGTAACAATTCGATAACTAAACGTGGGCTGATTGTTTTCGGTCGATGTCTCCTTTCAAAAGTGAATAACGTTTGTCTCCTTATACAAACAGCAATTTTGAAAAGGAATCGTTTTTCAGTATGAAACTCGAAATTAGCATGGTGAATGCATCTTAAATGGACATGTAAGCATACCCAGTGCGACGTAGTCGTACTTACAAAGAGAGCGTCGTGGCTATGATCGAAAAAAGGGAATGGGATGGTAATTGGAATCGCCCCTGAACTTGCATCGTCACTTTGGGAAAGAAATGAGTCTCCTTCTGCAGCGCCAAACGGGAACAAAAGCCCTATTTAAGGAAACAAAATAGCGGTGATTACAATTATGATCAAAACCATACAAGTGTATAAAAGTTATACTGCCAAACAAACATTACAAAAAGAGAAAAAATATAGGACAGTCAATATTAATATCAAAGAGACTATTATGATTTTTTTTATATTTATCTTAATGAATCTGTATGCACATACTTACGAAGTCGAATGACTAGAAGGGGTATTCTGAATGTCATACAGCAAATTGGAGGGGCATAGGGAGTAATTGTGCATTTGGCGATAAAAGCATGAAACTCTACATGCAATAACAAAAAAATTCAGACATGGAGGCATTTTATATCTGAGCTCTGGTGACCTCTGCGAGGTCAATGAACTTTTTATACCCTAATTGCCGCTATTTATCAAATAGAATCTTCCAAATGCTACTTGTAAATGACCCCAATCTAAATAGTGCAAAAGAAGCGATTTTAACAATTATTCTACTGCATATGTTAGTGTCTTAAGGTTCAATGTTTGTATATTTTCACAGCATCAATATCAATAAATAATAGAAAATAAAAAAAATAATACAACAATCTACATACATATAGAATGCGTTTGTATTACAAGATACAGCAGAGGAGCCCATTAAAAAGTTTTTAAGCATGGGCCCCTGACAGCAAGCACGCTAAATGAGCCCAAACCACGAGAAAGCAACATACATAGGCCTATAGAACAATGGTGAATAGTCAGTTACACACAACACGAGGTTAGTGGGCTCAATGACGATACTGTATTGTTACACAGAAAAAAACCCATCAACAAGAACATACAAACACAGTACACATACATGTAGAAACAACAGACAGACACTTACAGATCCACTAATCAGGTCAGCAAGGAGCAAAAAATAAGGGGTATGTGCTAACCACAGCCATGAATTAAAAATAAGTTTGAAATAAGATTGATTTAAATAAAAATTTGAAAGTGTAGAGATTGGTAGAAGCTTGGAGTTGTCCCCTATACATGTATTTTAACAGTATATTGAGCAAGAGAGGTACGACTTAATGGTATATGAAAATTGGAAGCTTGGCGAGTCAAATGAGAATGAATTTCACGATTTTGGTCAAATATACTATCATTGGAAGACGGTAAAGTATTGCGAGAAGATTGACACATTGAAGACCTAAGCTGAACATATTACATATTAATTAAGTTTTAAAGTTTTATCTTTTATGAAAGTATATCTCCACGTTCATATAGAAATTGACAAAATAAATTGTACGAAGGGCTCTTTTTTGCAATAGGAGTAGTATTTTAAATTAGTAGCGAAACTACTTCCCCAAGCAAGTAAATAGTTAAGATGAGGAAAACTAGGGTGATTCCAAAACATACAGGTATAAAACATGCTTGCTCTTATTAATTACACCTACGTTTCTCGCCTATGTTTCTTGATATTTCATGTTAGCACTGAGTCAAAATGATAAATAAACCCAAAATTTACAACAACCAGTTTTGATAATGACTTCTGCTTCATTTTTACTCTTATCTCCGAATGATTATTTTTATTTGTTATTAATTCATAATTATTATTTTTTGGCAACTCTCCAGTTTTTGTTCAACTCTGGAGCAGGTTTTAAGACTGAATTATTTCATAGACGGCACCAATTATTTTATAGACAGCACCACATGGTACCGGGAAACACAGAGCTATGTGCTTACTGGAATTTGTGTAAACAAATATCAACAGGGCACGGATGTCACAGAGGCCAAAGAAACTGATCCCGGGTCCAATAAATCTCACTCGCACTTTCGACAGGAGTACGTACGTGCAGGGGCGTAAATCCCAGGGGATGGGGGAATGTACCCCCCCCCCCCCGACACACACACCTTTTGAGTGGGGGATGGGCTATTGAATTATCCGCCCAGGTTTTCGTGATGAGAACAAAAATGTTGATATTTTGGAAATTTTTCAACATCCCAACGACCAAAAGGTATTCAATAGCACTGAAAAGTGGTAAAACGAAGAACAAAAGCTATGAAAATGCGCTGATTTGATGGCCTTGGTCAACAATTAACTAGACAAATGAATTAGTATCGAACGGTAATTTCTTTGCAGTTGGAATGCAACCGTATTATTGTTGATTTTCCATTACATGGACAAAAGATTTCGTAGGGGTTAACTGAGATACATTAATAAGAATGTGCAAAGCACGGATACGACGTTGGTGTCAAAAGGTATCTCGTACAAGGTCACCTTTTTGCTGACATTAATTACGCCACAACGCATAAGCAGGTAGGCTACCCTTACAAAAAAGTGCTATATAGAATTCTTTAGAAAGTTTTATACAGTTCTATAGAACTCAACAGGCTTGCCAATTCTCTATAATTTTTATATAGGGACCCCAAATTTCTGTAGAAAGGTATAATTTCTGTAGAGAAGTACTTCTGTAGAAGTATAATTTCTATAGAGAAGTATACTTTCTATAGAGAAGTATGTATTTCTATAGAGAAGTATATTCCATAGCATTCATTAAAAGCTGGAAGCTACGTCCAAAACTTTCCAGCGCCGACGAAATGACGTTGTTTGTTACCGTCATTCATGCTATTCACGATCGTAAGTTAATTTTGTAATCTGATTAGCATAGACCATAGCGTAGGGCGTAGGGCATTCCAGAGTGGAATGCCCTACCAGCCACCGCACTGGAGATCTTCCGGAGCAGCTTGATACCACTCACCCTCCGCTAGTTTGCCACAAGGGCATCTTTTTACTTGCACCGAGTTCTTAATTAGTGTACTGCACTTTCGTTGATATTTGTTCCTGCGACCGAGCACCTTTTGCACCCAAGTACGACTACACTCTACTATGGAGGGGGATGTACTCACTCGAAGAAGGAATTCGCCGCTTGACGGAGCTAGCATATCCAGAACTTCCGAGGGAACCACGGGAACGACTGGCCAGATGAAATTTTGTGGATGCAATCCAAGATGCTGATATACGGGCGGGCAATTTTAGAGCCCACCCCAAAACTCTGGACAATTCGATACGAGCAGTCTTGGAGATCGAGGCTTTTCTGAAGGCGGAACATCAACGGCGAGTTGCCCATGGTGACAGGAGTACTACAACTAGAGGTATGTTTGGTGAACAGAACACAGGGCCTTTTCGCATTATTGATGTTGATGTTGATGTTGTTGATGTTCATTTTGATTTTGATGTTGATGTTGACGTTAATGTCGATATTCACCACACAAATCAACTGAAACTGATTCAATTTCTATATTTTCAATCTACCGCTAGAGGGCGCTCTAAATTTGTATGACGTAACCGGTGATTTTCTTGGGAAAAGTACAACCTAGCCAGATACGCGCTTCGTTGAAAGCAACGGTTCACATCTTTTCCACTTTCAAATTATAAGACACCTCCGGTTTGGACCGGAAGGAAGGGTCAGGTGATTTGGCACCCACGAGATAATGAAGATCCTGAATATCGATTCTCGCAAACGTGAAGTTCATGTCTCTCACGGTTGATTTTATATTGATTTTCAAAGATTAAATCTAGAAATATTTAATCGCTTGTAATTTGATACCGGTACATGATGACTATAAAATGTCAAAAAGGTGACATTCTTACCGTTTCCATTGACATGACTCCTGGAGACAAACAGCATCAAAATACAGAAAGTCGCAGCAAATATCGCTGACTCCATGATTCCAAACTATCTCACGTTTGCCACACAGTGAAATGACTATAAGCATGGTTGTGTAGTGAACTAAAAGTTTCGTAAATGAAATTTCTTTTTACCAGATTTTGCTTGAACTGTACCAAGAAAAACTTCCAAAATGAGTGGTGTTTTTTTGGAATTATCAGGGCCTATTTTTGGGTGCGTTGGAGTAGCTCATTTATAAAGGTTTCTCTGAACCCGGACGTAAACATGAATTATGGTAGAGTCATTTTCCTGGAATCCATGACCATGTTGTGGATACCAGACTTGTATTCGAGTCACGAAACATCGAGTCCAAGTCCGAGTCCGGGTCACATTTCTCGAGTCCAAGTCCGAGTCCCGAGTCCTCCAGGTCGAGTCAAAGTCCGAGTCACGAGTCACAAAGGTCGAGTCCAAGTCCGAGTCACGAGTCACCTCGCGTTATCGCGATGCGACAGCAATACACGTGTGAACGACAGGACGTCTAACAAGAAAAGTCTGGTACCTTACCCTATCAATCTTGCACCAATACAGTATTACGTACGGACGGTGGGGTACAAGTTTCGGTACATTGATTTCTTTAATCAATATATCGGTAACCGGCCACGGCCACGCACGCACCGCATCGAGCGCCCTGTACATGTATTGCACAGTAAAAAACCCCGATCGACTTGAGTATGTGCGCGTGTGCAGTGCGGTAATTTCCGTCGAGTCACAAGTCAGTTCGAGTCCAAGTCCGAGTCCGTAGCCCCGAGTCCGAGTCCGAGTCCGAGTCCGAGTCGTAAGTCAAAGTTACTCGGGTCCGAGTTCGAGTCATTAAAAATGTGGTTCGAGTCGGACTCGAGTCCGAGTTTGAGTCACTAGTCATACATGTCTGGCGGATACCTTTTTTTCCCTTGGATTTGACAAAAAGGACATATTTAAAGAAAAAATAGCTCCTATACACCTCCCAAAAGTGACGGCAAACTTTTTTATAGCATGTTTTTTCAAAATGGCCGCCGACGCCATTTTGAAATACATAAAAAGTAATATCATGGGAAACAGATGACCAATAACGATTCCTACTATTTCTGGCATGACAAATCTGCTAAAATGGTATTCATTACGTTTCGGGACCATTGTGACCTGAAAATTCAAAATGGCGGCTGGTAGCCATCTTAAAAAACGGCAAACTGTTATATCTCTGAAACCAGAGGTGCAAAATAGACATATAAGATGATATTTTCAATTAATTCTGGCATAACAATCCATTTGAAATGGTTCTTTTGACGTTCAGGGACTACCATAACCTGCTCTATGAAGTTGACTGCTGTCCGCCATCTTTCAAAACGTCAATCTGCAATATTATCTCTTGCGCCAGATGCTCTTGGTATGCAAATGAGGTACCATTCCCTTTAAATCCGCCACTACCTAACTTACTTGAGTGGTTATTATGAGTTTTATCTTGATCCATAATAATTTTTGTTATAACTTAAAACAATTTGTTTTAAGTTCATTTGTTTTACTGGTTTAAATAAATTTATTCTCATTGCATGGTTTGTTATTTACAAGTTTTTCGCCTTACATTTCTTTTGCCATTCGATTGTTTAGGTTGTTTATTTCGCATGCGATTGTAATGTTTCTAGACCTTATCATTACAATGCGTTAATGGTACATTTTTGTGTTTGATTCTTTTTTTAAAATATATATTTCATCAGCTGATTCATCTATTTATTTATATTTTTGTTTCTATTACTCTTTACTTCAACATTTATGCTTAGCTTTGATTTTTTGACTTGTTGCATGATTATTCTTCAATGGCATTTTCTATTTTCTCTAACCCTCACATCTACATTCATCCCATGTGCACTATATTTGTGTTTGTCCGATTGTTGGTCTGTTTCTGTTACCGTTGAGTTAACATTTTAGTTTTGTTTTCTCCATATAAGCCCCGGCTTCCGAGGATGACTATATAATGGCCTATTTTTTATTACATACTTGTAGCTACATGACTTGTTTGATGTTATTAATGATATTATTGATTAAATAGCATAATTATTTCATTGTAATATAAAACTTGTGGCACTTTGAAAATAAATGTTGATTGAATTGAAATCACATAACATTTTGAAGTCTTTGTATGTAGGTCTATGTAGTCCATGAACATATAATGTCAAATCTGGATACGAATTATGAAAGAATGCTCACAGATTCTGTGAAAACAAATTGCATTTTGAGTTGCAAAACGAGGAAAGGATAATGTCTTACACTTATTCAGTTTTACTGTGTTACTGGTTCGGGTGAATTGTATGAACATCTGAGAACTTGTTTGCAATGGAGAGAAGAAGAGACAGCGGAAAGTTACGTCACAACCAAGGAACCGAATATGAATGCATACTCTGTGGGGGAGCCTGGTACTGCAGATGACAGTTTGGATAATATCTCGACTGAGAAGCGGGAGAATATTGTGACGGGGCACGAAGTGTATGCGCTGAATTCAATGCAACCACTGTCTGTATAATGACTGTATTACATCGAGTCACCCATACTTTGCATATTGGCAGATCCTGATCGCTGATTGGTCAGTTGGACTTAGGCAGTACTGTATGGCAGAGTGAATTTGTATTGGGGGCTATAGGCTAACGGGTGAACTCAGGGGTATAAAAGCAGCTGTACGACAGCATTTTAGGCAGATGATTCAAGTGATAACTTAATGATTGGAACAAGTAATTGGGGTTTAAGTAATACTAGACAAATAAGGATGATGATGAGGATTGATTAAAGGCATGACCATTGTTTGTGATTTTCTGACTCCGATTCCACTCATTCCACTGGCTCAAATTATTGCTAATTAGACTTATAATCACCGAATGTCAGGGCCAAAGTCCCAGGGTAGATAAAAGGGCCTGAGAGGATTACAAATCTCAGGGATTACCCCCTCCCTACTCCCGTTCCGCAATCCCATTCCACAAACCCCTTCCACCTTCCATCGGCGGTATTCCACCGAGGATTCCACTGACGGTATTCCACTGAGGATAACTTGTGCTGTGCTGTGGCCCATCGCTGTGGGGACTGGACACCATCGAGGCGGCACGCTACCTATCAAACCAGCCTCACAAAGGAGAGCTGGCACGACCACGTCACAATATCAAGATCAAGTCTGCACGATGGAAAGATTTTGATAAATGGAACAGTGGATTGGGATAATAGACCAAAAGTTCTGCACATGCATTTTTGCTGCTACACCAAAATGGCCAGTCGGCTCTATATCTCGTAAGCTCAAAAACGAAAGCAAAAATCTGAGGAAAAACTTGAATCTGTTTCAAGCATCTGATGTTGAAAGCAGTAAAAGTATGCGTTTGTCATGATTACTGGACTTGTATGCTCCTTCCTTGCACCACACACAACGCGCCTTATATTGAAGTACACCCATGCTGGAGTGAAGCTTTTTAGGAGCACTTTCTTTGCAAGATAATTGCTGGCCTGATGTCTAAGCTTTTCTAGTTTATCCTCAGATTTTCCTCGTTTAAGCTTGCGAGACATATCTATGGCGCAGACTCTGAAATACGCGCGCAGTATAGTACGCTCTGAATAGCCAGTCAGCGTTGCCGTTTACGTATTCCCCACGGCCAGGGGGTTACTGGAGGAACTTACGTGCAAGCGTCCATGTAATGGCAGCGATGCATCGCGATCGCCCTCGTGTGGTACAGTTACATTGGGGAAACAGTCCCCTTTATTTGTGCAAATGATGTGGTGTGCACATTGTAAAATATTAATTGACATGTTCCAACTACTTATAACCGAGAAATTAAGTTGCCACTAAAAAAAGTTAAGAAAGGCTTTGGCCCATGGATGGCCTAATAGTTACGGATTCCAGAAAAAAATGACTCTACTGGAAAGGTGTTTTCCCTTTTCCTTCCCACGTTTTTCTTTCTACAGGATAAAGTGCCTGGTCTGTTATGAACCCCGTTTGTCCTACACTTATATGCCTCTCGTGAAATAGATTGTTTCTCCCGTAGAAAGAACACATGGATAATTTGGCAAATTCCGAAAGAATTTCGCAGGGGTTCATGGGGGTCTGGAAATGAAAATGTTTGTATATTATATTAAATATTATGATCAAGCATTATTGTTATTTCAAGTGAAATTTAATACAGTTTTTTTTTAGCTCAACCCCCCCATATCCCGTTGTACATTTTCATCAATAACCTAGATTCTGTTATACCTCACCAACAAGTATCTGTTGACAAAATTCAAACACAACATTAAATGTTATTGAATTATTTGTCATTTCGTTCCCTGCCACCATGTACGATAGTGTATGAATAGGCCGTGCATTATATCATGCACATTTTTGTTTACTTCCGTCTTCAACTGCGACTTTACTGAGTAGGATCTTTGTAAATACAGGGAAATGGTGTTCTTTTGTATACAATTTGGACTTTAGTTCGTGTTCAATAGTTATGCAAAGCAGGGGCAGTGGTTCAAGGATATCTTTGTCGATTGCAAAAAGCGTGGCCGTATAGAAATAGGCAAAATTTATGTTATCATTATGCTCGCAATACAACATTGCTGTTTATATGTTTCGCTGTGGGACAAAGGTGAGATAGTGTGGAATCATGGCGTCAACGATATTTGCTGCGAAGCTCTTGCGCACGACTCTCTGTATTTTGGTGCTGTTTGTTTCCATGAGTCATGTCAATGCAAACGGTAAGAGTGTTTTGATATTCAGGTACATGCGTAAACGGAATGTTTTCGTATCGTCATACAGCTCAACAGATTCGTTTTGGAATCGGGACCTCCATTATTAAATATTGAATATTCTCTGGAAATTGTTTCGCACTCAAGCGTCTTTTAGACAGAAAAGGGATGCCTATAATAAAGACGACATCACTTCTTTCCAAATGAATATGGAAATTTGCACTCGCACAATAACAGCTTACAGATACTGTAATTAAAACAACATATTACTGAAATGATAACAAATTGTTTATTGTTTTAAATCAAACAAACTTTGCATGCACCAAACTTGGTGTTGCGTGTCGTAACATTGAAGACAATCTTAGGCCTAAAAAAAGTGGTTACTGTATAAACACGACCTACCTGCATTTTGTAGGCCAAATTGTCGACCTCAAACATTTTATTGCCACATTTGGCTAATTTTTAAAATACAATATATTTTGAAAATAAAAAAAAGTTTTCCCTGTGCAATTATTTGTGTGTAACTGGTTAATTCAACAGTTAAACAAGGTAACTAAACAGAATGTCACTATAGGTACCCTAAGTAGACAAACCTAGCATAAAAAACAACAACAGACAAACATAAAAAAATTACAAAATATAGTTATTTTCCTTCCTACCTTCCTGGATAGCTGTTAGTGCGTTACCGTAACTCACAATTTGTATCGGCCTTAAAAACTTGGTGTCTAATAGATCATGGGAGTATACTGTATGGCCTATTAGTATAAAAACAAATAAATAATAAACCCCAAAAGAAAACAAACAAGCAAACACCCCAACAAACAAAAGCCACAACAAAACAAAGAAAGTTCCAAAACAACATTGTGCGTGCTGACATGGAAGAATTTACTTAAAGAGTAAAATTATTTAGTCAGTGGCTTAAGGTAAAAAAAAAAATCTCCCATATGCAATATTGGGTAAACTCTTTGAAAATTTCAGGGATTATTAATGAAATACTATCCAATTGATACCATTTTTCTACCCCTAGAAGATTATTTTCGGAGCATTGTTTTTAAGCCAAAATTATGAATGTAGAATTTCATACCTATTTTATACTCCGACCTACTTGTTGGCGGTGCGTCGGTGTAAAGAAAATGACAAAATAAACCCAAAAGGAAAAGTCATTTAGCAAGACTTTTTGCAGTAGATGAAAAACTTGATTTGAAAATTACATGTTGAAACACAATTTTGGACAAACTGTCTCTTTTAGGGGCGGGAACACTTTCATAATTTTGGGGGTTTGGAAAACAGAAATTACAAGATATTACAACATGCATCCAAACTTATGCAATTTTTTCCTTCTGAATTTGGCCTAAGCAGTCTAGTAAGCAGTAAAATTAGAAAAGCAAAATTCCAAATCATGTTTCGCTTTTATGCAAGAGGGAGTACATTTAAAAAACAAAAGGCACTGATGAAAACGTAAAATTTTATCCTTAAAATCCAGTTTGTTGCACTAAAATTAGATAACAAAGCTGGAACGTCTTTTCTCTGAGGCCAATCCGGCACATAAAAGGGGTACTTTAGGGTGGATTAAAAAGTTTTAAAAAAATATATAAGGAAGCGCCAAAAAACAAAGAATGAGTAAATTTGAGTAAACAATCAGATTTTGTGTGAATTTCAGTTGTTAAGTGAACAAATATCAATTTGAGGTACGTTTACAGGTGTATTGTAGAATAAAAAAAAAAAAAATGGCGTTTCATGTTTAATCAGGCGTTTCATGTTTAATCAGACTTTAACTACCACTTTTGGACATAAGTAAATTTTAACAATTTGGGTTAATTTTTTTGTTGTTCTTATGCAAGGTGTGCCCCCTTTGAAAAGTGTTCCCCCGAAGGGCAACAAAACCTTTATGATTTGACGTGCATGTAAACATTCTGCCCACCCCGTTAACTCTACTGGATTGAAAAAAAAAACCCGCAACTGAGATTGCCTGTTTACAGCTAGATTTTCTGGTTACACCTATTGCCCCCACTTTATAAAATGTGGCCCCATCCCCAACGGAGGTAAAATTCTGGAATTATTTTATTCTCATGATGTAGCACTTGGGTGAGCTGTCCAAATGCAAAAAGGAAAAAGAAAAGGGAAATTATCGGAATCGGTTTTTTTTTTGCGGGCGAAGCCCCCCCACCTTTTTAATGCCATGGCCCCGGCCTTAATAGGGTGAGAAAAAATGGCATCAAGTAGTTTTGAACTTGTTGAAGGAATGCATAAGTGATCCTGAGAGTTCACCAAAAATGCATATGGCCCCCATGCCTACTGACTAATTATTAGAAGGACCAGGAGATGCGTTTGGTTGTTTTTTTGAACCGCTATGATGAAGTGTGAGATATCGCAATTTTTGTGGGGGGGGGTGTGAATCCTGGAAATTTGACGTGTAAATTCATGATTAGAAAGTAGAAACTCGCAGAAACCTTTAGAAATACCAACATATTTATTGTGTCCTTATTTCGGGAGATTGACTTCATTAAATTGTTCTTATTGCATGTACATGTACACCTTTGTTCCAACCCCTCGCCCCCTACACGAATATATGCCGGTGTACAATGTACATCCACTGTACGTGTACATTACAAAGCATTACGAACGCGCTATGCTTGCCGCCCTATAGAAGCGGTGTACATGTCGCTGTCTTTGAAGTTGAATGACCTACGCGTTGACTGGCGGTGGCACTGGGAACATAAATCTAAATGGTGGAGGGTACAGTGTTATAACGATTTTCGATTCATAAAACCAGTCCAGATGGTAGATATTGAAATAATTTGAGAAAGTATGCGTTGATTTCATGACAGTTTATTAAAAGCAAATTATTACTCTGCGTATCATGTTAGCACAGACCAACAAGCAGCATGCACTACGGTGGTTCCTGTACGCTTGTCAGTGCTGACAGAGCAACAACATACGAAAGCTTTAATTCTTGTGCGATAAGCGATTTCTGGTCAGTCGTAGAACGAATTGGGGAGGAACTTGAATGATTGAGAGAGAATCATCGACCTGGTTGAAAGGCAATGGTTGGGAGGTGTAATGTTGTGAGCTTGTCACTAGCACATGGATATTGTTGTTGCTTCGATGCTTGCATACTTTGTTAATAATTGTGTCCTAGTATATCCATGAGGGTTTGTACATACATGACATATCAAAGGGCTATAGGTGTAATCTGACCTTAGTTGTGGCATTATGCATTATTCATATACATGTAGTAAGTGATGGGGTTCATGCATTCCAATGAGGATGAGGTGATGTCTGGGTCTGCGTGTGTGCTTTCAGAGCACGTGGTGCATACTACATAGCTATCATGTATAAATATACCTGCATTCCACCTGGCTAAGGCCAAAAAAAGTATCCGGTTTCTGGTATGGAGCTTGCCCAAAAAGTGGTGCGGCGACGCGGCTTTTTTTTTTACCTGTTTTTTTTGCTTCAAATGTCGGCTGATGACTGCAAATAATGCCCGACTAAACTTAGTGCAAAGATATGGGAGTCCAGAGAGGCCACATAAAGCTTATTCTCGATCATAACCCCATCTAAAAACACGTTAATATTGTGCAGCAGCAGGATTCCAGTCAAACCAGTGAGTTTGGCGGTTTTGAGACATCATCTTTTATTGAAAAAAAAAAACTTTTTCATTTTGCCGACGCGCATGGCTACGGCGACGCGCGCGCATACCAGAAACCGGAGACTTTTTTTTTTGGCCTAACAAACGAGTGAGATTTTTGCAATGAAAAATAGAATGGTAATTTAAATATATTCTTACTTTTTAAATACGGTTTAATATGTTCATTGTTCGATGTTCAAAGTTCGATGAACATGATGAATCCGTAGATCAAGTTAGACTGGTTTCTGTATGATAGTCGATCGTTTAAAAGAAACATGTTCATGCATAGAGTAAACTTAAGATATTCATAGCGGTAATACAGTTCGCAGTTCAGTTGTTTCCGATGATTTATCAGTGTTCCAGTTAAAGTTCAGTTCAGACGTTTCCAATGATTTATCAGTGTTCTAGTTGTGCTGCACTCTCTTTCTATGATTATCAGAGTTGACGTTTGTTGGTCAGAGTTGACGCTATTTAATTGTTGGTCAGAGTTGACGCTTGTCGTTCAGATTTTGTTTGTTGGCAGTTGACGCTTGTTCATGATTTCTTGGTGTTGTGATTAACACGCCTGTTTGTTCTTTGGTGTTGTTGTTAACACGCTAATTGTTTGTTCTTTGGTGTCGTTGTTAACATGCTTGGTTGTTGGTTGAATGGTTGATGACACGCTTGGTTGTTGGTTGAATCATGTTCGATTAGAACACGTATTCATCATTCGGAGTTGCTATCCGGAGAGCTAGCTTAGTGGGTCGTTGCTGATAATGGCGTGGACCTGTTGGGCATGCATGCTTGGCGCCTGTCCGTCGGTTCACCTCTATGCTTTGCTGTTCCTTCTTACTCCGGCAGAATTTTGGTATTTTATACCATCAACGTTACGAATCTTTTTGTTTCGAAAAGAGCTAATATAACCTCCGATACGTTTGTGACTTAAACAGTAAGCGACCTAATTTAACACGATGTACGTAGTTTAAATACAAACTACCATTATCAAGGATATTGGATGAATAATTAGTGTAAACGTAGATTATCACGAATGTATGTGCTTCACTTGACAGGGCTGTTAGTTCCATTTGGAGTTGAGGAAGGAGACTCATTTCTTCCAGCCAATGATGATGGCAGTTCCGGGAGGGTTCAGATATCCTTCAACTTTCCTTTCTTCGATCACAATCACGACTCTCTCTTTGTAAGTACGGTGCTGTGATGTGTGAAGTTCTCTGTCATGGCATAGGTCTACATTGACTTTTAAAGTTACAATGTCTCCTGTTAACATTCAGGCCAGCCATATACGATTTTGTTTTGTTAACATTAGGAGCGATTCACATCACAGTGTGCTACCATTTGCCTCTGGCTCGAAAAGGCCACTGTCCAAATTTGCAGTTGACATGCAGTATCATCCAATATGTTTAAATGCGATACCACACAAACACCAATGCATATCGAAGCCCATCAATAAACTCATCGTTACTGAAACAAAAAGTACAAACTCAAGTACCCCCAAAACAGCAAAACTGCCGTGCCTTTTGTAAAAGGAATTCCGTTTGTCGCGGCACTGTTTTCTCAATAATGCACTGCGAAAATGTCCTTTCGGTGTGGTAACATTATTGGTGGCACACTACATGGATTTCTTTCGGATCAATTTGGATCATAAGCAGTTTACCTGGCTGACCTACAGGTGAACACAAATGGTGTGATATCATTCCTCGTCCAAGTATCCCAGTATACCCCGTCACCATTTCCACTGGATGGTGACCGACGACTGGTGGCGGTATTCTGGGGTGACGTGGATATCAGCTATGGAGGTAACGTGTGGTACCGTGAACTCCACCGTACCCCGAGCAATGAAGAGCTATTTGGTCAGGCAGATGGTATCATCAGACAGGCTTTTATCGACCAGTCGAAGTTTTCATCATCCTGGATGTTCATCGTGACGTGGGATGAAGTGCCTTTTTATGGAGCCGGTGAATGGGCCCTTCAAATAGTAAGCAGAGTTTTTTTTAAGGGACTGGTGTGTGACTTACCGAAGAAGGAAATGACAGAACTGAATTAATGCATGGGGATAACACAAAAACAGTGAACCATGCACAAATCCTGCCTCTTACTTTGCCTTTTTTTGGTATCGTTTACGTCATGATTCTGAAACGGTCCATGAGAGCGAAAAAGCGAGTGTATGCATAATGGCGTCCAAAATGTGGGTAATTTTACCCTCTACACAACTTATTTTGGTGCCGTTTTGGCCCTCAAAATGCCGTAGTTTAAGGAAGCTTGGAGCTTTTTTATGCACCTTGAACTCTTCGCATTGACGATAGTGCTCCCACGACTCTGTTGACTCTTGGTTCACAAAATACGGAAATTTGAAGACCGTATTATAGTCGAGTCCATCACAAGTCCTTTCTTAAGGAAAATCACAAGTACTTTCACAAGTACTTTCGCAACTAACTGGGGTGAACAATAACAAAGGAATGTCTTTGTCACAGTTCATTTGCATAACTTGTGACTTGAATTGAGACTGGAGGACTTGTGATCGACCTGTGAATATGACATAAACCTGATATTACATTTGGTTTTTTTTCCTTAGACAAACACATTTCAGGCTCTGTTAGTGACCAATGGGAGACATTCCTTTGCAATTTACAACTATGAAGACATTCGCTGGACGACCGGCACAGCCAGCGGTGGAAGCAGCTCAAACGGACTGGGCGGCACACCTGCTCAAGTACAGTTTAATAGCATATAAGTACATGTATTGCGATAGATTTATGTCCAAACTTCGACTTCGGCCGCAGCTTCCTGACAAGCCCCTGTCTAGTCTAGTAACAATACGTCATAAACAACTGAAGTTTCTATAGTGGGCTTAAAAGAGTAAGCATATCAAGCGATTTTCATTACATCACCTATAGTTTTCATTAGCACGTGCACTTAAGTTATTATACAACCATTGAAAGCGTCAGGGGGCACTGACAAATTAACATTAGTCGATTGTTCATCTTTGAAATAAAAAAGTTTGGCTCCAAAAGTGCGTTTCGTGAAGGAATAATAATAATAATAATATTTTATTCGGCAAATTCACATATATACACACAATAACAATAAATACATAAAATTGGATATTAAAACGAAAGGATACAAACAATAAGAAACCAAGTAAACACCACACACTAAAGACAGAACGTGGACAGTGCATGGCTGCCAAGGAGACCAAGAAGTCAAAATCAGGCACCGCCATCAAAAATATTTCTTCAAACCATGCATGTATGCTATCTCCGATTCGGTGGAGTTTGACCAATCATACAATTACCCGCATTTATGCATACTGTGCCATGAAACAATTTCCACATGAAGAAAACTATTTAAATGAATTTAGTTTCTATTCAACTTTTTTTTAAAGGTTGGTTTTAATGCTGGCGATGGCTTCACATTCTACGCTGTTCCCGAATCCCAGACAGCCGCGATCGTTGACATCGACCAAGACTCAAACATCGGCACACACGGGCGCTTTGTTTTTCAGATCGACAACAGTGACATCGTCGATTCCAGATGCAATTCTGATGGTATGTGGATTGGACAATGACTAAATTAGCAGCCAAGTCGAGGTCTCAGTGTTTAGTAATTTTGTATGGCATTGAAATATTTTCACCTTTTAATCCTCAAGGGAGAGAGAGCATGTGGCCTTTTGGTTTTCGATTCGATTCGTCTAATGTTCCTCAATTTAAGAGCTGGTTTTCCGAATTGCTCAATGGTCGTCATCGGCTGGCTATTAGTCTATTAATCCCGACGATTCGATTTGCCTCCTTATCAAGCTCTGATTTGTCTTAGGTAACCAACCTCTTTTAAAGTGGCAAACGAATATTTATATTCCCTCCGGGTAATATATACAGCCAACTCTGGAAAAAACGACAAGTTGAAAGTGCATTTTCCCCTGAAATACTTAATTTGAAAATATGAAGTACAAAATAATAATTTTATCAACAATAATTTTCATCAAACATTCTCAATAACTATTTGTATTTTTTCATTCAGTGTATGCATACAACCAAGTCCTCTTGATTCATATCCACAGGGTCACTGACAGTGTTTCCGGTTTCCAGTTCTATGCTGGGAGGGGACATTATCCGTCTTTCAGGGCCTTGTCTCAATGAATCCTCCACCATCGTGTGCCGATTCGCTGACGTTGAAGTACCGGGGCAGGTGGTTTCTAACACCACAGCCAGATGCGTCAGCCCGCTGGTATTTGAAGTCGGTCGTTTGCCACTGAGAATGTCAACTAATGGCGGCAAATCTTTCAATTTCACCGGAATATTCACCTACCGTAAGTGTTTGGAACAATTAACTTGTATCGAGTCCTCAGAGAAGCAAGGATATAACAAACTTAAACATAGGATCGTCTGCAATTTTAGGGAGGAGGGGAAAATAAATCATTATTATTGTTAAGCTATATGCTTAGGTCTCGATTTGTATGAAATTATATTTGTCTTCGCAAATTACTGTCGTAGTACATGTATCTTTCAGGCTAAAATGGTACCACACTTCTGAACGAAATGAAATTTTGCAAAATAGGGTGAAATATAACATATACAAAATTTAATAAACTGTTTATAAAAATTCAAAGAACCTGACCGCAGTTCATTTCTGTTTGGATTGGTGTCCACGCGTATTAATTTAGCCTAATTAGTTTCTACACTTAGCGTAATTTAGAGAGTAAAAAGGCCATTATAAAAGGGGTTCTTTATGAACCTTTCCACATCTTCAGTGAGCCCAGAAGACGTTTCTCCATTTGTCAAGAGACTCGATGCTGCAGATTGGTACCAGAAAGACCCACTGATCGTTGTTTGGGATACCGACTTATTCCAAGACTATGTGGACTATGTTCGGGTCTCTGTCTATGGTTACGGGAAGGATCTGGCCACGGGGGCGGTGAAGCTTCAGTCGGTATACAGCAGTAGTCAAATGGTGCCGTACAACGTAGGCGTATTCAAATTCAGCCGCCCTGAAGCCCCAGATGGAGTCCAATACACAGTGGGTGTTGTCCGTGTATCTCAGTACGGAACAAATGGTAAAAATGAGCTGTAAGTTGTCCAACATTGTACTTTTTCACCAGTTATAACCGATACAAATGCCCCATTTCGGAATATCAATAGTTCTATCTTTTTAAAGTATTCCCCCCGGTCTCTCTACTACTTGTATCTTTGAGAGAGTTTGAGGTTGGGCGCGTTGTTTCAGGGGTCTCTCGGTTTTGATACGCCAGATTTTATACAAATCGATGGAATATCGAGGGGAAATGTTTGCACTCGTAAGAGTAATCATCAATTATTTTTGTAATTGCAGGACCCTACCAGGGATGTGGAGTGACATCCACAACCTCCACTGGCTCTATCCAGTCCCTGACCCTTCAGCATGGTGTGATGGTTGGGCGGAGGAGGCTAGATCGGACTTGGACTTCCTTGAAGTGACTGAGCCGTGCCCCTGCACGCTGATCCAGGCTCTTGTTGATACCGGTCGGTTTAGCCAGCATCCTCTCTGCAGCCTGGATGCCCCACTCAGTTGTGAACTCTTCAAGCCTGGAGCTGTACACTGCGTCAGATCCAACTCACCGAGGTAAATTGGAGTCCTTCCTTCCTCTGTTAAAAAAAGGATTTAGCTCAGAATCCAAAGCCCAGCCTTTGAAACTTGACCAATTGATAGGGTTAGTGTTTTCTGACAAAACACAGCAAGAAAAACAATTGCATGTTTCTTATTGTTTGATTATTTGATATTTCATGACTAGTGAATAAGGTCTAATGACCATTAAAGTGTGTGTTTGAAGCTATTCGAAAAAAAATAAACATTTTGAGGATATTGTTTCAAATGAAGCAGTAACCCTAGTTACCTTAAAGGTAGCGTCCGTTATTTGTAATTTGTGCATTATTTTCGTTTGAAGCGACAAAAGTGATCAAAATCTTAAGAAGGTCAGCGTCCGATACACGTTCTCGCTAAGCCGATTGCAGCAACGCGATGTTGCTCACTGAACTGACGAATTATAACAGGCGCGTGTGCGTCGTGTCAACGCTTGTGCGCGATTCGCCGAATAAAAACTCAAACTACTCACGGAAATGTCCAACGATGCGTCTTTCTTTAATTGATTTCTCCAAAATGACAGCTTGCCAGAAAGAATAACTTCACAGGGAGTTAAGTCCCATTACTATCTTTAAACCAAGTATGCTTTTCAACTATACTTACGTCAGTTACTTTTTGGATGGCTGCAATTAAAATAATGATGGACCTTACCTTTAAAGTTTATACTAGCCAAAAACTTGGTGCAAGATGCTAAAGGTTAATACAATAGTGGGGTCTTAAAGATTGTTGATTTCTAAAACTAGTGCTGGCACCCAACAGAGTGACAGTAATTTTTTCCGACAGTGAGAAGGGAGGTGGGCAAGAGTGTTGCTATGGGAACGATGACAATATTTTGAACGTCTTGGGGTCGTCAGGTGGTGGTTTCGCTCACCGTAGACATCACGGAGGAGTTGTACCATATAAGGTAAGAGTAAGGAGTTTTCCAGGCTTTGTTTAAGTTTATTAAGTGTTTGAGTGTAATCCGCTTATATTTAAATAATTACTAAAATATCATTTCTATGGTAACCATTAAGAGTTTTGGTCAAATGGAAACTCAGTAGAAACTCAATAGTACTCAATTGTAGTCCATTGAAATTGAATGGCTACTATTGGTTATATATGGTTTGCAATGTCAAACTCATTGTAACATACAACTTCCATTTGGCTTTGTATAAACTGAATGCATAATAACTTAAAGTTGTTTCACTGATTTGAAGGATGCTGGTCGTGTTCCCTACCTCTCTCACTGGATATCTGACATTCTGCCATTTGAGCATTGCTGCGTTTTCTCTGAGGAATCATGTCAGCTGTATAAATTGGTGCGACCTTCCCAGACCTGTGAAGACTACACAGCGCCTGCACCAGGTAATGCCGCCAAACAAAATAACGTTTTATGAGTAAGTTTTAAGAATCGATGCTCTCCTTGTCAGTGTTAAACCACAATTTGCGTTATCTGCTAATCAAAACTTTGCTGTTCTTGAATGTTGTAATGAAGATACTGAGTGAAGATCCTGCACGTTTGAGATATTGAGACCTGGTTTATTTTTAGGCAACGTTGTCCAGGTTGTGTGTGTACCATTGATTTTAACGCAATAGGAAAGGCATCATCAGAGATGATGTTAAAAGTGTAGGAGAGGTTTAGCCAAACCAGCCCGAGTTTAATTATATTTACAGGCGTGTGAAAAACTACATTCACCTTTCTCCTCTGCCTGCTTTGTTCTACAGCAATTACTACCGGTGATCCCCATCTGATTACCCTGGATGGCGTAGAGTACACATTCAACGGAGTCGGTGAATACACAATGCTGGAAGCATGCAATGGTTCGTTCGTTATGCAGGCAAGGATGGCTGTCCTCCAGATAGGTATTTAATATTCAAATATAGTCTTGCTCTGTAATTAATGCATCGTCAAAGTGTATCGTATGGCCGTACACCTGTATCTCAGTGCTAGACTGTGCCCTAATAAGAGCAATTATTCTTTGAAATCATTGCCATATTTGGATCCAAGTCTGCAGGAGTGGGGGAAGCAAAAGTGGGGAACTCATTTTCTGGAGAGGTTTTTTGAACAACGTCCCTCAAATTCTGAGCTGGGGGTACAGACCTATAGAGCCATCGGCGGTGGAACAGTTTTGAAACTGGGGGCATCAACAAAAAGGGACACTTGTTTAGGAGGCATCTTCCATCGGCGCAGAAGCGTGTCCAGCATTTATTTGATTGATTGATTGATTAATTGATTGATTGATTGATTGATTGATTGATTGATTGATTGATTGATTGATTGATTGATTGATATTTTTTTTTTTTTTGGGGGGGCACATTCGTGATGAAATGTCGACACGTTTTTTTCACACTTGGCCTCCGAAAAATCAAATAGTGTTGGTGGGGGAGGGGGAAGGGGGAGGCTGGTACCGTCTTCCGAAATAGGGAGCCATCTTCAAAACCGGCCATTATGCAAACTACGCATGATGTGCCCATTTTCAGGGCGCATTGTAAGGGTTTTGGAGCTTGGTTTTCATATTCCTCGTTCATTTCAGTACTCTCTACTATAAAATTTTTGGGAAATGGTTAATACTGAAATCAAATCATCAGAAATTTTAGGGGCAGTTTTGTTTTTATCACAAGGGGGCAAATTCTTCGAGGGGGCACATTTTTGTCCGCAAGATAAATCTGGTGGTGGTTGGGGGGGGGGGGGTTCGCCGCCCCTGTATGGAGCAATATGACCCCTCCCCTATTTTCGCCACTAATTCAACTTCCTGAAGGCAAAAATACTCCTTCACAATAACGCAGTTGTCCCTTATCAAAAATTCTACTTCCCATGGTATATTTTCATCGCTACCTCCAGGAACACCTGCAACTGTTGTTACTGCCCTGGCGGCCGTTGATACAGAAACATCAGATCAGATTCAGGTTGAGGTTAGCAATCGGCGCGGTATGGATGTTTGGTATCGTCAGGAAAGAAATGGAAGTGACTGGACTATGCTAGAGTTTGACGACTCCCAGAGTCGACGGGTAGATCTGGAAGGTGAGGCCATACAAAAGGCTAAAACGGTGCTGGTAGTTCACAGCACATCATTGTGACAAATTCATCAGCTTTTCGACGAAGTTACGAATCGGATAGGGATGTATAGTCGATTCCATCACAAGTCACCACAAGTCACCACAAGTCCTCCAGTCCCATTTCAAATCAAAAGCTATTCAAATGAGCTTTGACAAAGGCATTCCTTCGTTATTGTTCATCCATTGTTTCTTGTGACTGGACTTGTGAATGTACTCGTTAGTTAATTGTGAATGGACTTGTGATGGACTCGACTACATCCCTGGAATCAACCAAAACAGAACACTGCTGAAACCGAGTTTTGAGAAAGTCACTTTGAAAGTTTGTCGATTTCTCGAATTGCGATTCTGTTTGCATTGAACTTTAAAAAACAGTCCGTCAGTAACACGTACACATTCATGATGCATATACACAAAGTTGCCACTTCGTCAAAACGCAAAACATGTGCGCGTGGATAAAATGTGTACATTCGCGGCATGGTACGCTGATTCGTCACCTTGCCAACACGCTTTTTAGCTGCATGCTACGCTCTGGCACTACTGTAAACCCTTATACATGTACGAAATGACCAATCGAGACACTATTTTAGTCGGATTCGTCACTTCGTTTGAACGTTGACGAAGTTATGAGGAATTGAGGATACAATATCGGGTTTTCCGTGGACTGCCTTATTGTCCTTACATGTTCGGTCAAGACAGTTAAAGTCAGGTGTATCAATACTTGCGACCGGAGACCAACTTGTTTCCATCCCTGCACTAAAACCATAAAACGTGTACAAAAAGAATAGCTTCTTATCACGAAGCCTCGAAAAAGTGTGGCACATCGATGTTCTCTCCTCACAAATAGTTTTCAAGAAAATGGTTGTGCCGATGGGATACCCAATGCTTTGGTCTCGTCTCTTTCTGAGGTTACACGATTTGGCTCTTATGAACTGCTCTAAAACTATCGAAACTGATCGCTCTCTCGTGTTGTGTAGGTGTGGCGGTCTTCTACCGGGAGGTAAACAACTCGGGCGTGATGACCAAGAACATTCACGTGAATTGCAAATGTGGAGTGTCGTTAGTCGTTTCAACTACGTCCGGGTTGCTCAACGTGTTCACTTCGCTGCAGAAGGAACTGAAAGGGCGCACGAGAGGATTGTATGGTAACTGGAATGGAGAGAAAAATGACGACTTCGAAAGACCAGACGGCACCATTTTACCAGTTGACGCGACTGTGCAAGAGATACACAGCGAGTTCGGTCAGAAATGTAAGCTATGTTGATATGTTAGGTTGTCGATTTTATCAACCGAATTTTATTTTAGAAGGACCAAGCAAATCAATCGAAAATTATCTATGACTGATATCTGCAGCATACCTTATTGGTACCCGATACATGTACGTGCACCAACGGTGATTGAGGCATGGATCCTTTTGACGGCAACGCAATGAACAACTCACATAGTAACACGCCAATGAGTCTGTTGTATGGCTTTTTTGTGATTTTTCAAAAGACGATTCCGTGCAATGAGATATAACAACCTTTAGTTGTTTATCAACATTTTTCTGCTTTAAGCAGACATGAAAAGACACACGCCGATGTCAAAGACTGTGGTATTGTTGTTTTGTCTATCAACTCCACTCCCCTATCATTAACCAGAAAGAAAATGCTTAGTTCCAAACATATTAATTATTTGCAGGGCAAATCGAACCAGAGGATTCCCTCTTCAGATATCCCAGAGGCAAGGGTCCTTCTGATTACAGCGATGAGACATTCACACCGAGCTTCATGTCACCTGAGGCAGCTCTCACCGGAGCAGCGCGGGAGATTTGCGGCAATAATTCACAATGCGCTTTCGATTGGGCTGTGACCGGCAACAGTGACATCGCCAGGGCGACTGGGGGCGCTGTTGCTCACTACAGAGCTGCTATTGAAAGTGCATCCATAGGTAATATCAATGTCATGTCATGTCCTGTCAAGAAAAAGAAATCATTTACAGTTCGCGTGTTCAGAATATTTTGGAAAACTGGAAAGCATTTCAGTATTACATTGTGAAATGATTGCTCTAGCTGGGCCGACCTTTTGTGAATGTGTCCTTCTTGAACCTATCAGTGATCTGTGGCTCTGTTGCCGACCCAACAAACGGGAGGAAAGAAGTGTCTCGTGGCAGCGTGGGCGGAGTAGCAAGCTTCACCTGCGATGATGGATACACCTTGCAAGGGGAAAATGAACTCGTGTGTCAGGAGAACGGAACATGGAGCGGGGAAGTTCCCATTTGTGAAGCATCAGGTTAGGGCAGAGTATAACCTTCTTTGTTTAGTCTACCTTTTAGGAACACAGATCTACAAAACAGCCATCTTGGCGTTTGCCAAATATATTGACACGTCTTTCATAGGTTACAAATCACACGGGTATTGGATTTTGACGTTCGAATATAAACTTAAAGTTATTGTTCACGCTCATCACTTTTGGAAAAGTTAAGACAGTATTAGATGGGCTTAAGTCACATTTGACGAATACGAAATAGACACCATACAATTATACTGATGTGCGTATTTCGTTTATTATTTTTTTAGGCTTGCAAGCTTGGCAAATAGTCGTCATTGTCGTGGTATGTTGCTTGGTGCTGATTGCAGTTGCAGTGATTATCATCTTGGTTCGCAGAGCAAGTTCGCGTAGGCCTATTTAGAATATTTTGGAAAACTGGAAAGCATTTCAGTATTACATTGTGAAATGATTGCTCAAGCTGGGCCGACCTTTTGTGAATGTGTCCTTCTTATACCTATCAGTGATCTGTGGCTCTGTTGCCGACGCAACAAACGGGAGGAAAGAAGTGTCTCGTGGCAGCGTGGGCGGAGTAGCCAGCTTCACCTGCGATGATGGATACACCTTGCAAGGGGAAAGTGAACTCGTGTGTCAAGAGAACGGCCAGTGGAGCGATGAAGTCCCGATTTGTGAAGCATCAGGTTAGGGCAGAGTATAACCTTCTTTGTTAAGTCTACTTTTTAGGAACCAAGATCTACAAAACAGCCATCTTGGCGTTCGCCAAATATATTGACACGTCTTTCATAGGTTACAAATCACACGTATTGGATTTTGACGTTCGAATATAAACTTAAAGTTATTGTTCACGTCACGCTCATCACTTTTGGAAAAGTGAAGACAGTATTGGATAGGCTTAACTCACGTTTGACGAATACGAAATATACACCATACAAATTATACCGATGCGCGTATTTCGTTTATTATTTTTTTAGGCTTGCAAGCTTGGCAAATAGTCGTCATTGTCGTGGTATGTTGCTTGGTGCTGCTTGCAGTTGCAGTGATTATCACCTTGGTTCGCAGAGCAAGGTAAGGGGCTTGGTGCAGGCAATAGGTGTCCATCTCGGTATTGACGCAGCAGCGAAGTGCAAATAGAAAAAGAGATACCCCTTTAATTGCTACAGTGAGCCATGTCTTGTCTCTCAATCAGCTTGATAATAGCCCACGGGTTGCGCTGATAACAGCACACGGAGACTGACAATCAGCGGAGACTGATAACTAAAAGCATGATTGATGGGTTTTGTGAAGGAAATTGTCACAAACTTGCATATTTTTCTTTGGGATGTGTTTGGGGAGTTGGGAATAAACAAATAAGCCTTCAACCATTCTGATTTTATCATTTAAGTCTCCAAGATTTAATTTCATTCTTATTTTCAAATGCAAATTTTATTGTTCTTTATGGTACGACATCTCAATATCGCACGAAATCTCAATATCGTTTTCACAGGCTAAATCTAAAACATTAAATGTCCTGAAAATGAGTTAATAACGCTCACAAACGTCACCATTACATCAAGAAAGTAATCATGGTCCAAACGCTAATTTATTTTTCTTTTCTTTTTGTGGATTGTATCTGATTTCGCCAGCTTAAAACTCGTCAACACATGAGGAAATCTCCTCGGGGTAGTTGCATGTGTCCCGTTCCTAACATTGATATTCCCCTTGTACTAGTGCATGTTGAGTTCGCAGTTCTATGTATTCCATTATATTTTTTTCGGGTATTTTTTAGACATGCGCTTTGCATGATATTTATTCTTATTTTTTGTTAAAGTCAGTTAAATCTATTGAAAAAAATCTGCATGCATTAACTTGGGGCGACTTTTTTTTGGGGGGGGGGTGCAAAACAAGTCAAATTTGTCAGCGAAAAATATTTTTTCTCCACCGGAAAAAGTTGTAACAATCACCACAGACTGTGTTATGTGTCTCCCCTTGGCATCCTATCGTGACGGAAATACGGATATAGTGAACGTGCTTGTAGTACGCTTTATTAAAGCATGTTTTTTTTTTATTAACTTTGTCCAACAGAAAATGAAAGTCCGCTGCCCGAGCATGAATCATCAGTGACTTCGGAGAACCTCATGACGAATAGCATTATAGGGTGCTTGGCTTTATTTGAATATTCGTAGTTATATGCTTTTGTTAGTAAATACATTTATAGTGGATTTTGACTAAAAAGATTACAGTTTGATCAGAGATTCCATTTTGACGAGATTAATGATATGCCTTTTTCCGCAATACTCTCAATGAATTTGTTATTTGTTCAGCTTTTCAATTCTAGTGCACAAACGATATGCCTGAATAATTGTTGGGGGCCAAATTATCCAAGAATTCTCAAACTAGAAGTGTGAAGAATGTTATTTTTCGTGACTATCTGTACATAGTCGAAAAAATGACATAGTTGCCACACTCCAACTGATTCGGTGTCTTCTCCAATTGGCTGATCCAGTAAGCCCATAGAGCTATATTAAATATAGCTCTATGAGTAAGCCCCGTCCCATGGTGTCCTGACCAATCACAGCCGTGATTTACGTCTGACATGCGCGCACATATTATAGTGGAGCTGCTTAGGTCCATTTTTTGGCCAAAATCGTGCACTTTGTGGTAAAAGCATGAAATTTGGCATGCGGGGTCGGAATGGGCTAGAAATCATTTTAAGATCGGGACCCATCCTGGATTTTGCCCATATTGGGGGCGGAGCTTAATTTTTTGAAAAAGGGGGTGCAAACAATAAAAACTGTATTTAACATCCATTTCCCTCGTTTTTTCTATGCGTTAAAGTAAGCTTAAACATAAAATAAGACATTCTAGCTTGTAAACACCTGTTATTTTCCACCCATTTTGTGGGCGTGGCCTAAATGTGTAAAAGAGGCGGTATATATTAGCAGTTTGGTTCAAATATATAACAATACCATTCAGTTGGGTGGTAAAATCTTGAAAATTGGCATGTTTAGTCGAAATGGGCTGAAAATCATTTTAAGAGGTAGACCCATCTTGGATCTTGCCATTTTGGGGGCGGAGCTTGATCGGTTAAAAAGGGGAGTGCAAACAAATAACAATTTAGAAAAAACTGTATTTAACATCCATTTTCCTTTGTTCTTCATGCTTTTAAATAAACAGAGACATGATACAAAAAATCCAACATTGTAACACTTGTTATTTTTTACCCTTTTGTGGGCGTGGCCTAAATATGAAAAGGAGTCCTCACATTAAAGCAGCTTCATTCAAACGAGGGAAAATCAGCACTTTTGCTGGTAAAACACAAATTCTGCATTGGTTAACTATGTTTGCCATACACTGTAAAGATAAGTTTAAAAGGTTGCAAGGACTTTGCCCTTTTAGGGGTGGAGCTACATTTTAAAGTAGAGGAGTGAATATTCGCATAGAAAGGTAAAATGGTAATATTTCTACTGGGTATACTTACTCAAAGTGGTTTCATGTCCTTAGATGTACCTGGTACATACAGCCTAGGCCAAAAAATAGTTCTGTTTCCGATAACATGGCATTTGAAAACAGGGTAGGAAGGTAGGGAATTCTTGTGGGGTGCATTCTTTTTGTGTTGATCATATGTAGGTGTCTGCGTGTATTCCATGGTAAAAGGTGGTAATTGATGGTTTTTGTTTAATTTTTTTATTGTTCCCAAAACAATATTAGGGTAGGGGCTGTCAAAATAGGGTAGGTGGGGTACCGGAAGCAGAAGTATTATTTTGTGGCCCTATGTGTAAATATTGAAGCAATTGCCAGGAGTCAATGGCTGTGGATTCTCTCTTCATTGATACGACCACACTCTATTGAAAGTTAACAATCACGCTATCAGGACTGGGGTGTTATGGATCTGCTAAAGACCTAATTGTTGTTCCCCCTCACTCCCCCATTGTAATTCCTATATTTTTTGCGTGATTTTCCTAAAATTCGGCACGAATGTTGGTTGGCCAGTACTCTATTTGATGTCATTTTGGTAGATACCACATTTAGAGTGCACTTTCGAAATTCACTTCATCTAATTTCATTTTGTTTTACAAACACCCACATGAATTCAAAACGTCTGCGCCCAGAACGGCTTCATGGCTTTTCTGCGCAAAAAAGCGAGGAGTGGGTACAACCCGATCACAATATTGAAATGGTCACAATTTTATTCTGCCCTTTGTTTCCTTTTTTCCCCTTTCTACATGATGCTCTGCTTCTTTTATTGTACCTTGTATAAACATGAAACTTTGAACAAAGATTAACCCTTATCCAACATCTTCAAAAGTGGCCATCGCTTGAATGAAGTCTTCAACCAAATAAAACTCATGTTGATATTTTGTAATCAGATAGACCATTAATTGACAAACAATATTTTGTCAAGTACATGAAGTCACTTGACCTTTACTTTAATACGGGGCTAACAAAACAGTGAATGGTGTTGTCATCGCCTGAAAGAGCCCCCCCCCCCCGACTATTTAAAAACCATTCATCAACATTTTTCCAAACTTACCCTTGGAACTTCTGTGGAAAAAAAATGTAATTAACAGTTTTTGGGGAAAGCTAACAACATTCTACATGTTTTCATGGATTTTGATGAAACTTAGATGCAGTGTCCCTTGGGTGCATGAGAAGACACAATTCTTCATGGAATTACTGAGGTCAAAGGTCATGTAGGGCTCATTAGAGGTTATTGTTCAAATATGCTTCAAATGTTTCTTTGTCTACAGAATTTGATGGATCAGTTTAATGTCACTAAGAAGTTGGATGGAGTGCTCCTTGGGTTGGGGTTCATCACAACTCTTCAAAAATTGGAGGTCAAAAGTCATGAAGGGGTCATTTGAGGTCGTTGTTTAAAAATGCACACAATGTCAAGAGCATTTTTTTTAAGAACACAAAATATATAGGCGACACATGCGATCCGCAGATATAAGTCTTGTATTAATTCGTATTAAGTGGCAATGTTTTGGGCACAAATAATGACACAAATAATGTTACCAGCTACATTGTTGCTGTGATGTAAAGATACTGTGCTTTCAATACATACATTTATTCCTTCCTGCATGTACTTTGTAAATTTTGGAATTGTTAATCTTCTGGAATATTCAACCCCCTACTTTAAATTGTAGCTCCACCCCTAAAAAGGCAAACTCCTTGCAACCTTTGTAAATTTATATGTATGGTAAAACATAGTTCACCAATGCAGAAGTTGTGTTTTTACCAGCAAAAGTGATGGTTTTCCCTCGTTTGAATCAAGCTGCTCCAATGTGCGGCCTCCTTTTCATATTTAGGCCACACCCACAAAAGGGTAAAAATAACAAGTGTTTGAAAGTTGGAATTTTTTTTTTATCATGCCTGTGTTCATTTAAAAGCACGAAGAACAAAGGAAAATGGATGTTAAAAACCGTTTTTCTAAATTTTGCACTCCCTTTTTTAACCGATCAAGCTCCACCCCCAAAATGGGCAAGATCCAACATGGATCCACCTCTTAAAACGATTTTCAGCCCATTTCAACTAAACATGCCAATTTTCAAGATTTTACCACCCAACTGAATGGTATTTTCCATATTTGAACCAAACTCCTAACATATACCGCCTCTTTTACACATTTAGGCCACGCCCACAAAATGGGTAGAAAATAACAGGTGCTAAAACGCTAGAATGTCTTATTTTATGTTTAAGTTTATTTTCAAAGCATAGAAAAACTAGAAAATGGATGTTAAATACAGTTTTTATGAGTTTTTATTGTTTGCACCCCCTTTTTCAAAAAATCAAGCTCCGCCCCAAAAATGGGCAAAATCCAGGATGGGTCCCGATCTTAAAATGATTTCTAGCCCATATTGACCCCACATGCCAAATTTCATGCTTTTACCCCAAAGTGCACGATTTTTCGCTTAGCAGCTCCACTATTAAGTCCGACCATAGATAAGGGAATAAATGTGTGCTCCGGAGGTTTTTATCACTCGTTTAATACCGCTTAGAGTCTGGGTGCTGATAATTACCCGAGCCGGAGGCGAGGGTAATTATCAGCACCCAGACTCTAAGCGGTATTAAACAGAGTGATAAATACCG